GATGAATAGTTAGAGTCACATAATAACTAAATGCAAATGATATGAAATGCATGATAATTGTTAGGAATACGCCTACACTCATTGACCTTTGAAACATCGCTGTAACTTACTCCTACGCAAATAACCTCGAGTGCATTAACGCCTACATAAATTTTATCTGCTTATAGAGCAAGAATTTCAATACTCGGAAACCAAATCAAGTACCTTGTAACATCTTACTGACCCATATTTTTTGTGTTATTCTAGCTTCATATATATAATTAGGACAACAGCCCACCATAACTAATATATCTTTATTGCTACAAAACTAGAACATCTATGATACCAACAGATTGATAGTGAACTGTAAGTTCTAAACTTCAAAAGATGTCTAAACGATTAATTAGTCAAATAAAAGCTTACAGTTATGATAATACGAAAGCATCATAAATCAACTTTTTAATAAATGTATATGAGAAATATACAAAGTGATTAACTAAAAATATAGCTTTCAAAGTTATAAAATTCATTCCTTTATCCGTGAAGTCATTTACATGTGATGTTCATGAGACTAATACCTACTTGTTAAACATGAAAAGGAGTATCTGTGAGTCAATTTAAAGCAAAGGAAATGTCCAGATATAATTCATCAGCCACAATGGCTAATGGACTGTTCTTTTGTGTTCTGATAAATTATCTAATATGAGGTCATCTTTAATCCGAAATCGTTCGAGATTTATGACTACTTACCCAGATTAACAAAACGGTCGTTTCTAATAAACTTTCATACTATAATATCACTAGAATAAAATGTTATATCATGTAGGAGACTGAGAAGTGTCAATTGCTCAAATATCTCTGAAAACAAACGACAATCTTTCACTTTGAAATTTTAAATAAAGCAGATAGTTGTAGTCAATAGGTTTAATTTCAAGAAGGGGTCATCAACTGCTATTCCTAATTTGTTATCAATTGATTGCTGACAGTCATGATCACTTATAGCCCCTTTTGGTTTGTTCACGCATAACTGTTATTTTTAATTTAATGATGCTATGTGATATGCATATATGTAAATCACATCTGTTTGAAATAAAGATATCACAGAGGCTGGTTGTTACTTCTGATCTCAAAACACGGCATAGAGAGGACGCGGTGGACAAATTAGAAGCTTAGTTGTCATCTCGGGACTAATGGTTAGATAAAAGACATTAAACTACAGAGTAAATAATAGACTAAACTAAAATCAGGATTCCGATTGGTGACTTTGCACATGATGTCTGTCAGCGGTCATGAAGACATAACACTGGGTGGTGATCAATGTCATAGTGCACGCAATGTCGAGTCACCTAGACTAGTGACCACACTGAAACTTGGTCTATAGGATTTGATTTGCGCTAAGAAGGACCTGACACACATAACATTGATCACCACCTTATGATCAACCAATTGTATATAATAAAGTCATCATTCTAATCTTTATGATTTCATTTAAAAGAAGCTTCTACGATCGTTACGAATCTTGATATTATTCCTTAAATGGTTTACATAAGCCATGGAGTAAAAATGCAAGCTGTACTGTAATGCCTGATGACAAGTGAATAGTCCATAAAATATGAAGGGTTTGATTGGAACTTAAATCGATAAATAGTTTTATTTCATTGTACATGTATAAATTAAATTATACAATTCTACATGAATTATTTGGCCTTAAATGAATTGGATTATTTTCAAACGAAGTTAAGAAGTTAATCAAATGTTTTTTTCAATATGGTACATGCATATAAATATATAAGGGAAATGACTAAATAATTGGATGCCGGTTAAGCGGCCTAAATGTTAAGCGTTCACGCGCGAGACCGATAGGCCCTGGGTTCGAATCTCGCGAGGCGGGATCGTGGATGCGCACTGCTGAGGAGTCCCAAAATAAGAAGAAATGGCCGTCCAATGTTTCCAGGTTTCTCACGGTGGTCTAGCTTCAATTGACTCATGATTTGTGTGTATTGAAATGGCTACCAATATTTAAGAAAAAACATCTGTTATTTATGAAACAATAAATTTCGGTGAACGTGAAAAATGCCACATTGTTAAATAAAGACAGCAAAAATCTAACAAAATACATAGATTATCATAGATTGTTAGTATGAACAGATTTATAAACAATGTGACATCCAAATTTACAGTGGTCTTTCATATAGCTTTGAAGTCAGTTAGTGATTATCGGTTTGACATTTGATCAAACACATTACTAGATGAAGTTAAATATTCAGGGTAAGTTCACGTAGATGTGAATTCGAGTGATCCTTTGATAACTATATATATTTGTTACATCTCTTAACCATAGTATAGAAACTAAGAATAACCAAAAGCACCAGTGGACACTGAATCCTAGTTCCATTTTTTTCCACTTAACTATCTATTATTATTTAAAATGTGTTTTGTTAAGTATCGAATATCATAAGCCGAATAACTTTGTTGACATGTTAACTACTTTTGTTCAATCAAACTTCAAGCCCAACCTTTCTGTGTTTTATAAATAGTCACATTTTGAAATAGTTAAATAAATGTTTCTATAATAAAAAAAGATTTAAAATACTACTCACAACAATTTCCTTTGTATACTGAATTGTTCATTTTAGTTAGTTTTCTAAGCACTTACTTATCTATTTTGGGTGTGTCACTTGGGAGAAAATCTTTTAATAAAATCCTTTCCTCTATTGAGGAGAAAAAGTTAAACAAAATTTGCCCAGTAAACTTATGTTTGAAACTGGTTATTATCTGTAAAACAAATAACTTTTAATGAAAAAATAATAATCTCGGCATTCACATGGTAACAATCAATTTTCGCCACAGAAACGTATTATACTATAATTTTTAAAAAAATAGAAAAGATCAATATGAGCCAATAAGAAAAGGATTTTACCGAGTTAATAATTCTTCGACAATTGTGATTGTAACATAAAATTTGAACAGTAATTTAAAAAAGTAAACTATTTGACAAAGATTCAATAACCAATTCTGGTTAATTCAATTAAGTTTATTTTATGAATTAGAAATATGAAATAACTGAAGTAAGTATAAATCTTTGGACAAGGATGCTGCTTTTTTCTATTTTATGTTAATAATGACTGAATAACTTATCGCAGCATTGAAAATGTAACATGAAGTACACTTAAACTAATGTTATAATGTTTTGAACAGGTCATTCTCACATTTATCAATGTAGGAATCCTTTGTGTTAGAGTAACCAACATTCTTTTGACATGAATTATAGGATTTGTGACTTACCGTGTACCGATTCATGACACTGATAGTTACTAAGTAATCAATCAATATGAATATCTCAGCCACACACATAATTAGTTGTGGTCCAAATACCTTACTAATAACGGCTCAAACTGTCAAGCTGGTTGATACAAGTTCAAATCATATGATAAGTAAATATGTCTTTCTGATGAATATAAAATTGATCGACACTAAGGCTAAGAGCTTTCTGTTGACTGCCTCTAAACATAAATATGATATCTAGTGAATTAGACTAGTGGACATATTGCAGCTTGGTCGATAGAATTCAACCGAAATTCGCGACTAGGCAATTATAAAACTGGTTACTGCTCAGCGATCAATCAGTATATGTTGTCATTTTATAGTTATTGATATAGATAGAACAATCAATCCGAAAACAACTCATGTCATATTCAAAATGTCTATGGATTAATAAAATATAATGGTTTTATTATGCTGATTTGTCATTCAAATTCACTTACATTTAGACGTATATATTGACTAATCAAATAAACAGCTACGTAATATATATGTACTGAAGTATAAGCATGCTAACCTAAGATGGATTATATTGTACGTGTACAAATGTAAAGACTAGTTATTGTAGTGATAAATATTGACTGATTTTATCACATATTGTAAAACGTATATGTAAGTATATTAGACAATGTGTACACCTTGAAAAGAAGAAATGAGATCGATAGTGGCATTAATTACTTTCAGTATTTACGCATATGCAAATTAAACAAATTGCTAATTATTCAACTATATTATTTAATATATGCATATTATGATAAGAAAATACATGTGAAAGGTCTCATTTCGTTGAATAGTTAATTTATTTTATTTAATAACGTAAAGATGGGACAAATTAAAATTTTTAGAAGTGTGTGGTAAAAACGAGCATGAAATATTATGTAACCTCGGATGACGTAGAAAAATACAATCATATTTGCAACGAGAAACTATAGAAAACATCATATAATTTAACAATCGTCCCTAAAATACCATTCAAAATGTATTAAAACGAAAGCCTTTGACTTTGAATAACATGGATCGATGCTGTCGTTTTACGTTACCGCCATAGTACATCGGGAAAAGTGTAACGAATCACGGAAGGTTACAAAATTAAAACTTTCTACAAAATAACAAATACTTCAAAACATCTTAATTCGAATAAAGTAAAAAAAACCGTTTTATATATTTACAGAATCGTGTTTAAAGGTTAAGTTCGACTAGAATGCCAGCAAATCCCAGCTCAGCAGTTTGGAAGTCAATTGTGACTGTAATCTCTGGGTTTTTCTTTTCCAATTTTAGGGTCGCTGATGTGCACTGCTGAGGAGTCCTACACTATGATAGAACACCTGTTCAGTGCTTTAAGATTTTCGAAGGTTGTTTTCTTTATATCCATTCGTCATTTCAATAGAATTAGGAAAAGACGATGGAAATGGATAGAACATACAATACGCAAATTATCAAACTGAACCATGAGGCAATCCCTAATTTGGAATCATAAAGTAAATAATAAAATAGGAAGATCAAAGAACACACTACGTCGGGAAATAGAAGCAGATATGTAGATGAATAACAACTGGAAAGAGCTGGAAAGGATTGCTGAGAACAGGGTTGGATGTAGAGTGCTGGTGGGCGGCCTATGCTCCCCCATAAGGAGTAACAGGCGTAAGTAGGTAATTTAAGTATCACAAATATATCAATATTTTGTTGAAATTATCAAGTCTCACCTTAATAATGATGCTTTTTAAACTAGATTTTCTTTATAAGTGGTTAAAACATGCGATTAAGCTTGATTTACAAATCTATGGTCGGAGACAGAGAAAGTGATCTTAGAAAACACCAAAATAATTCTACTTCTCATAATGATTCTTGCTTCATGATAACGTCAAAATATTTTTATAATTCATTTTAATACTATCTTTAAAATGGTGAAAAAAAAATTTACAACTCAGATGGATTTCTTTGGTGATTCCAAGTTCTTGGAGCAAGACGATCTATTTGTCATAATTTCATTATCGATATGGACAGCCTGAAATTCATTTTGTAATTAAACATTATCTTAAAAGCCTGAATAACACTAAACTAATGTAATATGTAAATTAGATGTACCCGTATATGAAGAAATATATTTCTCATAGGTGTTAAATATACCACAAGATATATATTTATAATTTTGTTATAAACGATAGAATACTATAAACATCGTAAAACAGTGATTGTTAATACTAAAGAATGAACAGACGAAATCTATTCATTGCATTACATGGGTAATATTTAAGAAAAGGTGTAAACTTTTTAAATTTTAAGAAAACAACAACTGTGTTTACAAATTTTTGTTAAACAAAAAAAAAGTAGAGAAGAAAATAAGACAAGAAAAACAACCAGAATTAATTATCATAACAAATAGAAATGAAATCGAAGAAAAAAAAATAAACAAAATTTAACCTCATGATGATGCTGATGATGATTAGGAGGAGAAGGAGGAGGATGAAGAAGAAGAAGAAGAAGATGAACAAAAACAATCGTTCAGTAACTGAGACAACTGTCAATTAAAATATAATAATTATGTACAAAGATCATATTGAATAAAAAAAAAGGAATATTGGTTTTAATGAATTATTTGCAACAATATTTATATTCGTAGAAAGAAAAAAACATACATACAAAATGATTGACAATTCAGAATGAAAGATAAAAAACATTTTATAAATACAGAATACTGAATAGATCATTATCTGAGTATGATTTTTCTCTCCTTTTCTTTTCTTTGGTTCTTTTTTCTTTCTTTCAGATTTTTTTTTGAGATTCATTTTGATGATAAAATACTTCGTTTTGAACGTTGAAGAATAATAATTAATTGTTCTTTGGCTTTATCTAATGCTATGTCATTGAATTGATCTTCAAATCCATTAATTATACGATTAATTTGAGGATTATGTGGAAAATGGTGAACGCTTATGATAGGAAAACAGAGAAAATACAAACAAAAAGGAATTTTATGGTGTAAATGCTTCTTTTAAAATGAAATCAATATTTTATCGAGGTATTATATATTATTATTACTATTATATATATATATATATATATATATATATATATATATATATATATATATATATATATATATATATATATATATATATATATATATACTATTATATTGAATCAAAGCAAATAAATTAGAAACATACGCATAATTTGTACTCAAATTTAAGTAGACCAAGTTTTATTGTTACAATTTATTTATATAATATATCCTTGTGGGCCAGGGTAATTTTACATTGGTTTTCAGGAGAACCAGACACCACCCAGACTTTCACGTAAAAACCCAAACAGTACAGTTCAATCCCGCTTCACATGAGAACCAGACATCGTATAGGCTTTAGCGCTACAATCTGAATAGTACAGCTCAATCCTGTGGTGCAACCACACAGGTATCAAGCACCCTGGTGGCCCATTCACACCATTCATATACACATTCACATCACATGTATAATTATTCCGATCAATGATCGAGTGAATCAATTATGCACAGCACGAACAAACCAAAGTTGACCTATTCCGCTTACACAACAGTCAAACTCGTTAATGTTAGCAATGGCGACATGCCTGACAATGTCTCAATGACAATAGCCCTCGGGAACACTGAAAAGCAACCACTAGTATGAATGAAATCGGTTAACCAGCAAACAAATTTTGTGCATGAACAGTCAGCAAAACTTGCCGAACCATCAACAATAACAATGGCGAACCTCCAGCCTCATATGAGACCTTCAGCTCTATATAGCCATATAGCTTATACTGCATACAACACATGTATAGGGTAGTAAGCAAAATAGCCCAGCCTGAAGCGTTAGGGCTTAAATAACGCTTAGAACCCACTTTCTGACGTCGGAATACTATAATTATAGACCGCCAAGATCATTTTTATCGCATTTGCGAAATTTTCATTTTTCCGACTTTTCAAACCCTGGAGTTAGGGGTGGTATCCCTTTTATTATTATCAACTGTTTAATTTGAAGCATAACTTAGAAAGAACTGAGCTTAACTGATCAAATCACATGTTTACCAAATGTAAACTACCCTTTGTTTAGTCGGTGAAACTATTACCGAATTTATTACAACAAGTTACGCTGCTTTAAATTCACCTGGAGATGTTTTAGGGTAACTACCGGTACGAAGCCAAGGTTGAGTATAGAGTTAGCAACCTTGTCCCGTAGACAAAAATCATACTAAAAAATGCCAACCGGAAAAAATCCTGTATAGTATTTAAACTCTGTTCAGGGATTTGAAAGATCTCGTATGAATGTGTTATGCTATCTTATGATGTAAGCAGAGATTTTCAGAAACCATAAGGTCGACAGCTCTCCTGGCAGCAAGATAAATAATTAACATAGGTAAGTGGAGTGTCCACATATTGTGGAACACTGAGAGAGCCATTCAAGTAGCTGCAAGAATATGAAGATACAACCTGCGGATCCTTAAAAATAAATGAATCCCATTAAAGGCAAACTGAATAGAAAAGATTGACTTAAAATGCAATGCTGTAGTAAACCTTGTGACAAAGAAAAAACACAAGGAGTTGCACTAATAATCTCTAAAGAATCATGGAGCACACCTACAGAATTTTAATCTTGTGGCTTCAGTATTATCAAAGGAACCTTCGAAACAAAGAAAGGGATTAAAATGAATACCCATCAATGACAGCTGTGGAGACGATAAAGATCGGTTTTATACGAGGCTGCAGTTGATTGTTAAGAGATGTCCTGAAAATGAACTGATTATCCTGTTGGGAGACCTAAACAACAAGACTGGAATGAAAAATACCGAGTATGAAGATATAACTGGATGCAGCAATGACAGCGGAAAAAGCGGCTAGAGAATGAGACAACCATGTGATGGAACACAGCAGCTCTCAGGAAAACATATTAAACCAGATTGACCCATCAAAGATATGGACCAGGACCAGGCAGCATACAAGCTGAAACACTGTAATCAGACATAGAGCTAACTGCAAAGATGCCTCACATTCTCTTCGGAAATATTTAGGAAGTAGAGCAAGTATCGGCAAACTAGAAAAAGGATACCTCATCAAGAAACCAGAGAAAGAAGATCCTATCTAGTGTCAGAATTACAAAGACATCGTACTAGTGTCATTAGTAGGCAAATTATTGCTGAATCATTTTGAACTTTTATTACCCAGTGTAAAATTCACTGAGCTATTCAAATATATAAATGATTTTCTGTTAAATAACGATATTTTCTGCTTTCAGTTCATGGTTAAATAATAATTTCTTCTGCATATTACGCCTTCTTTTAACCACCTGAAACTTATCTTCATGTCATTGACTTACTGTATCACGTCTCCACTAGTCGAAAAGAGTAGATCATTCAAATAACGTAGTATAAATTCTGCTTTATTTTGTACATTTTCATAAGCTACTTACAAAGTTTATCGAACTAATCAAATGTCTGGATTGGATCTGATAATCGTAACAATATATATATTAAATCACAATATTATCCTTCAATACATTCAAAGAACATGATTAGTTCCTGTGATCTTGTAGGTATGTGATTTTCCTTAACAGCTGCTATCTTTGTTTTTTTAATTTTTAAAGAGATTTTAATCCTAATATCCAATACTAATTCGGGATTTGTAATTGTTTCTGGTAGTGATTAGATTCAGTGTGATAACGTTTAGTTTTTACAGATCTATTAAAATTATTTGTGCTGTGAAAGTTAACTCACCATTTAATCGTCATCTGATTAACAAATTAATTATTTTTTCCTATTGAACAACTAAATACGAGCACGAATTTTTATATTAAATGATTTACTATACTTTCCCTTCTAATATGAAAATCAGACACTTGTATGTGAAATATAAAAGTGAAACTTCTTTGAGAAGTTTTCATAGAAAAAAACTATTTCGTCATACGTATAAAAATGTATGTTTTATATTCAAGAAAATACAGTTGAATTCTATCATATGAAAGTCTTTCGGATAAATACGGAACAATCAGTTTAATCGAATTCATCACTCTACATCAACTTCATTGACTACGAAAAGCGTTTGATAGCGTAGACAGAACAACACTATGGAAGCTTCTTCGACACTACGGAGTGCCTCAGAAGATAGTCAATATCATACAGAATTCCTATGATGGGTTAAACTGCAAAATTGTACATGGAGGACAATTGACAAACTCGTTCGAAGTAAAGATCGGTGTTAGGCAAGGTTGCTTACTCTCACCCTTTCTCTTTCTCCTGGTGATCGACTGGATCATGAAGACTTCAATATCTGAAGGGAAGCACGGGATACAATGGACATCTAGGATGCAGTTAGACGATCTAGACTTCGCAGATGATCTGGCCCTTCTATCCCAAACGCAACAACAAATGCAGGAAAAGACGAACAGTGTAGCAGCAGCCTCAGCAGCAGTAGGTCTCAATATACACGAAGAGAAAAGCAAGATTCTCCGATACAACACAGAATGCACCAATCCAGTCACAATTGACAGAGAAAATTTCGAAGATGTAAAAGCCTTTACATATCTGGACAGCATCATCGATGGACAGGGTGGATCTGATGCAGATGTGAAAGCGCGGGTCGGCAAAGCAAGAGCAGCATATTTACAACCGAAGAATATCTGGGACTCAAAACAACTGTCAACCAACACCAAAGTCACAATTTTCAATACAAATATCAACACAGTTCTACTGTATGGGACGGAAACTTGGAGAACTACGAAAGCCATCATCCAGATGATACAAGTGTTTATTAACAGCTGTCTACACAAAATACTTCGGATCCATTGACCAGACGCTATCAGCAACAACCTTGAGGAAAGCACCCAACTGCCTTACAAGGCAGGCTGTCGTTTGAAATCCTCAAGGCCAGAGGAGAAGAGGGAGACCAAAGAACACATTACGTCGAGAAATGCAAACGGACATAAGAATGAACAACAATTGTATAGAAGTAGAAATGCAGGCCCATGACAGAGTGGGTTGGAGAATGCTGGTCGGCGGCATATGCTCCATCGGGAGTAACAGACGTAAGTAAGTAAGTAAACAACTATATGAGTCTTTGCATATTTAAATATCTCAGTTGAACATACGTTATTTTTCAAGAGAATGTTATTCTTGGGATATAGTCTTTCATCAGATGGTGCAATCATCCGGTTGCAAACAGCGAAATGAGTGCTTAGTGTTTTGAGTTATCAATTACATTAAATACTACCCTACTGTTACATTCAAATATATTCTGTGAAGGACACAAATTTCAGCTAACGAAAATATGCACTATCTACTACGAAAGAGTAAAATGATTAATTTTTCTTAAGAATTCGCTTACTTTTCAACAGATCCTTCTTTTCGTTTTATGAAATAACCAAGTACCATATAGTGTTTCCAACACCTCCAAACATTAATCATGTCAGTCGAATTTGCATTCAGTGATGTAGTTATCATTTTAAGTGGTTTAAACACTTGATGGGAAGAATCACCATGTTCTCTGATAGATTCAATATCATGTTCTATTTTATCATTTTTAGACAAGGTTGCTGTTGGTGAAGTTGACAGGTGAATTGGATTGCCAATATGTAGATGAATTAGTTGTTGAAATATTAATCCTAAATAGGGCAAACACGGTAATGCGGATGTTTCTAAGTCTCGTCGATATTCACCGAAATTCGGAGGTTTCATATAGGATGAAAAACCAGCAACCAACTGAAAATTTTAGAGTCGAAGCAATACGGGGTACTTTTAAGTGAAATCAAAAGTACTACTCTAACCTAATAAGTAGCATGTAAATATAATTCATATATGTGTTTCTTATGCCACTGTAAAGTAATTCACTTTTCCAGATAGTTGAAACACAGTGGTTGGATAAATTCTACTAATTAAATTTGTCTATCAACGTTTCAACAGTACTTAGTAAGTTATGGTACTTCATTGTTCGTTATCTCCATACAAATTTATGAGTCAACTATTGTCCCTTATTCAGATTCAAATAGGAACAACCACTTCATATTAGATCCTCTTTTATTTGAAGAGTGAATAATGGTTGTTAGGATAGTCGGAAAAAGAGACCAATAATTATCATGTTAATTTCAATGGTGTCCTCGGACTTTAAATGTACATTTCCTATTGGTCGATATTTGTTCACTTGTTGAATATTGTACAAAATGTTGTTTCCTATTTTATGGTACGATGTGGTTTGTTTGCTTGGTATATAAATAGAGTATGTTTGAAATACAATGATTCATAACCCAGAGGCTGTGACTTGTGTTCTTGACTCAACTGGCTAGGACAGACAGCGAGGCAGGGCCAATCAGGGCACTAGGTCATCCTTACATGTTTACGTGTCCACTGTCACAGAAGCGATCGATATAACGCTGCGTATCTAAAACCTGCAGTCACACCCGTTACAACAATGGTGAAACCAATAATCGGTTTACCGAGTTCCTAATTACATTTAACATACCATTAATGTTAATTTTTAATACGTTATACCCGGTTCAGGGTTTAAACAAACTCACATAATCTATCCAAGTATATTCGAAAAACAGCTACTGTATTTGCAGAGTTGGTTCATGAAATTATTGGTTGTGATGGTTTACACTACTTCATATTCTGCAAGATTTGAATTTGACTGTATTGTCTTCAAATGCTAAATGCTAATTGTTGTTAATTGATTTGCTTAATTACTATTTGTTAACTAATTATGTATAAAAGATAAATTTATGTCCAAAACTGTTTCTGCCTACGTGTTTAATCTCATGTTTAACAACGTTTACATTTTAAAAATCGGTGAGACCATAATTTATGGACGGACGTTTAGCGATGCTAAAATAACCTTGAGAATACTCACCTACTTACCAGAGTTAAATGATAGTTATAAAAAAACTGCAGTTAGACATCAGGCTTAGAAATGGAATTCAATGTTTTGTTCACAAATTAACATCAGCCATAATGCTAAAATGCTATTTAGCCAAATGCATGAATGAATTTTGCATTAAAATCTAAGACCTGTTATCTTAAATTTGACTGGTTCTTGCATAAATTTTAGTCTCGCTTAAAAGTCCATTGTAAATTTAAACCCACTTGTTTTGATTTCTTTGAAAGGAGACATTCAGGTAATTCTTGGATAGCCAACAATAATGCAAGGAATGAACTAAAATTGTGTAATTGCTTTAGATGCTAAAAAGTTGAAATAAATTTTAGAAAAAAATGAATTTAAGTGGTATAAGATACTATAGGAAAATCACTTAGTCCGAATTCGAAAAATAGTATCATTAGGTATCTTGATGAATGTCTCATCCGATAATGATTGATTGAGGTCCATGATATAAAATGGACAATGATGTATACACTATTGACTGGGAATGCTATTTTTTGTATACAACTTTCAAACACAAGCTAGTTTACTGGTACTGCTTCCCTTATACACTTACAGTTCAGCACGAACTTTGCTTTAAAAATGCTTTATATAATTGGGTTGTCACATTTAGTTAAAATTCATGACGAAGATATACAAATAGTATATTCAAATATCGAATTGATAATTTGTTAATTGGAAAACCATTCAACTAGTGTTCGTGATCAATAGCTCTGTTAGTTTAATAAAACCATAGGCTTTCTTAAGTAAACTATTTAATAAACTGACTTTCACCAAAATTCAGTTAAAATAAATTCTTTTCTCGGTCTACTATTTAAGTAGATTTTGAGATTTTATTATCGTCATGTTAGAACAGTCAGACGATTAAACATTTCTCGGTTAATGATTGCTCGGTCTAATATTTTCCGATTATTCTTTCTGGCATTAAACACATTTATTCTTCAAGAAGTGTAGTGTTGATGAATGAAAAATAAATTATGTTAACAGTTAAATACCCTCTTGAAATACTTTTAGATTATACATAAAACTAGTTCCTTTCAGTAAAAATTAATAAGTGCCTTATTCTCTGTGAAAACACTTCAAACAGTTCAAGATGATACATATTTTCGTATTGTCTAGAAACGACATTTCACATTATTCAAGATTTTCCAGCATGGTGTATTTGTTTATACAGGTATTTGAATTCACCACTTATCTCGTAAAATGCTATTAGGTTATCCACTATGATAAGTAGTCAGGATAGCCACCAAATTATTCAACAGTTCTTAGCTTTTCTAGAGGTTTTCATTCTACCACTTGTTAATATTCACTGTTGATAGTTACTAAAAGATATTATAAACTTCCAGTTACAATCTTCATCAAAACATCCAATAGAAAAGTCACTATATCAACAATCGATGACAAGATTCAGCCCTACATACCAACCATAAAAAATTACAAGCTCAGAACAATAATGATAAAGTTCCAATGACTATAGTAACAATCTTAGGTACTTTCTAAAAAATAAATCAGTGATCGTAAACTATTAAGCTTTAGTTGCCAAGTGTCTACAATTAAAACTATATCTAACCTTTAAGATTTCGCATAGTTTCTGTAACATAATATTGACAGCAACAATTTTCTTTGTTAAAATACTTTTATGGTGTATTAATGAATTTGATTTTATAAAATCTTCATTTGTGGATTTGACATTGTTTGTTAATTCTACATCAGATTGTGAATCATATTCTTTATTGTTTAATTTGTTTTTATTTTTAATATTTGGAACAATAAGAGAAGAACATGTATGACGACTACGTAAATTATCAAACAATGATTTACCACTTGCGCTTTTTATTTGATGATTTGGTAAATTTACTAAAGAATACTTTTCAACTATTTTTGGCGCTATGATAAGTAGCATTCCTTTAGCCCATCGTGTCATTTGATTGAAATGTTCAACACATTTACCTAAAGTTTGAGCTTCACCTTTTTCTAAATGTTGAATATTTAGTAGTTCATGAAACTGAAATGTTTAAAAAGAATGTACAAATTCAGTTTTCAGTAATCATGTTAACATTGAACTAAACAAGTTGATAAAAATTTCGAAATAACTCAAATATTTATTGCATTATGTATGTAAATCAATAACAGAAAACAATACGTGAATACTGAGTAATTTGAAGTTAAAACTTCTTGACCAACATTAAGTTCACTAATGAATGAGATATTAAGCTAGTCTGGTAACTAGGTGTTTATTTCGTTTCAGTATCAGATTGTTCGCATCATGTTACAAAACAGTATTGCTGTGGTGTGGGTTACTTATATCCACATAAGTAGTATATAATTGTGGTCAGGCATAGAATGTATTTCAGTAGAAGGTCGATGAGGAAAGAACGGGAACAGAACGCAATAGGTGTGAAAACACATGAACAATGAAATCTGAGACAATGGATTGATGTTTGCAACAGCAACAGTCAAGTTTGGGATGATGGATTGATATTTTGTTGTGGCTTTATGGCCCACTAGTTATCACCGCCAATATTAATATGACTTATTCGCCTTTGTACTGTACTAAATCAATGATGTTCGTTCGGTCTGATCAGCCTACCTCACTATTGGTCCGTTGCTCGTCTAGCCCGTCCAGCTGAGTTCAGAATGCCAACAACAGCCTCCACTATGCGAATCATTTATTTCAGACATACTGGGTTTATATACCAAATAGACCGCGACGCAGCATAAAATAGGAAATAACACTAGTACAAAATATTAGCTAAAAGTGACTGTGAACGTGGGAGGCATTAGTCAATAAACTGAACATAGCTTAGGAATAGTAAATCGTACAGTACTAACATATAGGTCAAAATAAAGCTTCAGTCAGTTAGTCAGTCAGTAACAACGTAGAACTTCGTACGTAGGCACATCAGTTCGAGTTGCCATACCATATTTGCACAGAGATGCAGTGGTAGAAGTCCAAACCCTGGAGATATAGACTAGGAAAGTGTTATCTCTAAAAGTACGTCGACGACAAGTTGAACAAGAATGGAGAGAGTGGACAGCCCTGACGAACACCACTTGAGGTAATCAATTCTGATAACAGTTCGCCATAAGCTCTCACTCTACCAGTTGTGTTCGAGTAGAGATCCTTTATAAGGTTAATGTACTTCTTTGGTACTCCTTTCAGTGACAAACACTGCCATAGAACCTTACGATCAACAGAGTCGAATGTCGCCTTAAGGTGGAGAAATACTACCATTGTGGGGCGTGTGAACGTGTGTCAATGTTCTAGAACTTGACGTAGTGTGAATATCTGATCTGTACAACCACGTCCAGGTCAAAAACCAGCCTGATTTCCTCTAGTTTGTTCTTCGAGAGCTTTGGTTAGATTTCATATGGCTTTTTCAACTTCGTAAAGAGACGGAGGACCTACATTAACTTGCCATTCAGGTTGACTGGAGATCGTGGAAAACCGAAATGTGGCTGAAGGCCATTTGAACTGATCCCTAGAGTGTTCTGCCCATCGATCCAATCTCCTGGATTGAGAATGTATAATATGTCCACCTTTCTCTGAGTGTTTCGCTAACAGTCGGTTTCCTTAACAAGTCTGAACAATTGTCTGCTATTACCTATTGCCGCTGCCTTTTCCATCTCTCTTGCTTTCGCTACCCACCATTGTTCACGATCATTGCGTAGACTTCTTGTCAGCTTGCGCTTAAGCTCACTCCGCTCTTTATTATGTTCAGAGCCAGGTGGAATGAGCTTCCGAGCATCTATCAGTGCGATAGATGCTGCTGAGATCCAGTGTTTCTCCCTAACCTTACGGGTTACCGTACTAGCAGATATCACTGCTGTTTCCACAGCTTTTCGGATATCATTCCATGCTGCCTCGGGGTGGGCATCACATACATGGCTGCCTAACTGTTTTTCTAGTTGTTCCTGAAATATACTCTTAGCTTGACTTTCATTAAGTAGGCCCTAAGAGGTTTACTGGCAGCGTCTTTCCTACGTCCAGTAAGACGCAGGCAAATACGCGCTCGTACCAGAGCATGATGTGAATCTAAGCATGTGCTCCAGAATGAGCGACAGTCTTCTATCGAGCCCCTCCATCGGTGGCTGATAGCGATGTGATATATTTGAGTTTAACGTTGGGACGAATTAGGGGGTCTCCATGTTAAAAGATGTTTTTGTTTATGCTTAAAGTTAGTATTTGCAAGAAAGAGGCGGTTATCTGAGCATAGCTGCAACAGACGGTCGCCATTATCTGTTCTTTGAGCCACGATGCTATAAAATCCACCTAGGTTTCTTTCCCTATCGCTTAGTTTACCTATTTGAGCATTAAAGTCACCAGCCACTATTACTACATCAGAGCGCCTAACTTTTTTGAGGAGGTCAGGAAGCTTTCTGTAAAGCTCATCTTTTACATCATCTGAGCTGCAGTCAGTGGGAGAATAGGCAGAGACGACGAAGAGGCAACGACGAGTGTCCCTATCTTCTCGAGTCCTTATTGTTCCGTTTAGTCGGACAGCGCACAAACGACTGTCTACTGGGATCCAGTCTAAGAGAGCTAGTTCTGTCCTAGGACTCAATGCTATACCTACGCCGGTGAGGCCACGGGAAGCAGAATCAGGGCTTCCAGATACACGAAGCGTAAATCGAGTCGTTTCTTTATTTTGGCATGGTGAGGTCAAATGAATGACGCTACTCGGATCCTGTATGCGCGTTTCGGAGACGCAGCACACATCGATGGCGCGAGATTCTAAAGTCCGAGCTAAGGAAGCCTGCTGTCCTATTTGGCACAGTGTTTGTACGTTAAAAGCTCCTACGTGTAGTTTAGAGCGTGGTTTCAGGAGACCAGGAATAGCGTTCCGCGTGCTCCAATCGTTTGCCCTAGCGGTGCGAGGTGAGAAAAGGATGTGAGAAGGGTTAGTCGGGGAGATGAGAGTGGTGCTTGAGGCCGGTCGCGCACGGCCTTTTCGTGGAAGGTTTTTAATGTTTTAGCTCCGTTCTTCAAAGGGCCTTACCGCCAGAGACAGAAATCCGTGAGGTAAGGTAAGCTGTGACATTTTTACGGTCGACCTTTTTTAACCCCACCCCTTCTTGTGGGAAGGCAGCATAGCTGCAGATGCTGGTTGTCTGAGGGAAACACCTTACTGCTGTCACACCTCTCTACAGTCAGCAGTACGACTTCGCCCTCAGACCTTGAGTTGCTGCTTTTAGTCTTACTGGCGTGGTAGAACTTACAGGAACATATGTTCCAGCCAATATAGCTCGGTTGGGTCATCACGATAGGCAAGCCTGACCACCGAGTCAAGGTAGCAGCTTCGGTCGGGCAAAATAAAGCTTATAACAAGGGGAATATAGATATACATAATCTAGTTACTGAATATGTATACCATGAGAATATATAAACAATATTAGTCCATTAATAGGTCTCAGACGTTACACGTAATGTAATCTTCACTAGGATATAACACATATGGTTCTCAAATTTTATTGAGATGCTCTGTAATTCTGTGCTCAAATACATTCGATTGTCCCTACTGGTGTTCTTGTTCACTACATTACTACATCTCCATCCATGAATTCTATATTCATAATTATATTCGTAATTCATTCCTAAATACACCGATCTAGCTTCTGATTGCGTATAATTAACTCTTCAGTAATGTATATAAGATTAATATGTACATTTTTCAGCAGATTAAGTTTAATCAAATAAATGGTACCGGTTACAATGAATAATACGATCTTATGAATTGAATGATATGATTATATTTATAAAATAAACATTAAAAATCTTATTATTTATAATTTGGTTTACTAATTATGAAAGACATAAATGAATCATTTTGTGTGTGTGTGTGAAATTAAGCTTAGTCTTGAAATATTTCATTATTTCAAGATATCATGAAGATTCTATCTCTTAAATATACTACTCACATCAATTTGAGCGAATTTTTCTTCTTCAATTTGAGTTATTTCTTCTGCAATTAATCGTGCATCACATTCAAGGAATTCGTGAGCTCTACAAGAATATTGCATAAAAATATTTAAAAAATGCAAAACAATTAAAAAATATCAGATGGGTTTTGTGGATATTATAGTAATTTCAATGGCTAAGATCATGAGTCAGTTGAAGCTAGACCACCATAGAAAACCTGGAAGTTAGACATTAACACCGTTGGACACCAGCCGGCTCAGTGGTCTAGTGGTTAAGTGCTCGCGCGCGAAACCAGTAGGTACTGGGTTCGAATGTCGTAGTCTGCGAGGTCGTGGGTGAGCACTGCTGAGGAGTCTCACGATAGGACGAAACGGCCGTCCAGTGCTTCCAGGTTTTCCATGGTGGTCTAGCTTCAACTGACTCATGATATTAACCATTTAAATTCAAAGATACTTAAAAGAAACTTTTGGAGTGACTATAGAATACTTCTTGACACTGTGTTGCTTCATCAGAGGCATAACAAATTTAAACATTAGTTGATAAAATGAAAAAAATTGAACAGAATATCATTACTTCGTATTACAGTCATTTTGTTAAAAATTACTCTTCAATGCAAGAGCAATTAATAATTTAAATCCAATATGTTGTTTACATGATAATATTGACATATCTGATGGAAAAAACAATTAAGTACATATGGAATTGATAATTAATTCTCATCTGAACTTACCAAAGAAATGATACTGTAGTGGACATGGCTTGATGGGGATAACTAATGTGAAAAACTATACATCAAATACTTTATTTGCAAATATTCAATCGATTGTCTCAAACTCTGTTGTTCCTTCATTGATATTACGATTAGTCTGTGTTAACATTCCCGTTCTCTGCAATTCGATCTTCTCAATCTCCTTTTGGTGTTACATACTACTTATGTCGACAGACAATAAGTAGCATATACCACAATAAGTTTTGTAAAAACTAGTTTACCTAATGCATTTGAAGTTCAAGTCAATAACGAAACTGACATATGTGATCTGATTTTGAATCAATTGTATGTTATATATACTGTGCACACGAAGAATGTTTTGCAAAAGAATAATAGATCGTTTTGTTAACTTTGTAGGACTTTCCTGAGAAAGGTTCTCAAAGATTCTAAATATTCCAGTTTTGCATTATTTGGCATCAAATGAAATAATGAGTGTTTAAATTCATTTTAAACCCGAATACATTACTTTGTGTTAAAAAAAGCATATAACAATACGTTCATCACAACATACCTAAATGTTCATCTGAATATGAAAAGCTATTTACTTTAATAGAGCTTCAGTAAATCATGCTAAACTCAAGTGAAGGGCTATCGTGAATCAAAGTTTATTTTAAACCAACTAATGTCTCTGTATTGCCTTACTTTCATTCCTTTTGCAATCTTAAGTTATCTTTTGTTTAACCTATTTTTTCTGTATCGATAGTCCTGACTCATCCAAATCAATGGCTAGAAAGGGTTATCTCTTAATGAAATGTGTACGATGTAAATATTCTAAATGTTGCCAATTTCATTTTTTGTGAGTTAATGTAAATTGTAAGAACTAGATAGAAAATTTAGTCGTTAATATATTCTATATTTCAGAGACTGAACCTCGAGATCATCGTGACTGTGAATGTGACATTAATTTGTTTATTCAGCAATTGTGCTCCACATTAGATCGTTAGATTAACTTAAGTCATTGATATTCAGCCTTCTTGATGTTTTAGTAAGCATTATAGACAAATCAGTACAAAATGACCCGATGACGTGAGCTAAAATGTTCATTTGGAACAAGAGTTAGTGAATATAGAAAATCAAATTTCACAATTTAATGGACGATACAGGTGTAATCTACTCTTCACTAAGTACCTTTCAAGTCAAACTGTCCGAGATGTCATCGCACAGCTGGATGGAGATCAGAATGCATAGACTCAATGTCACTTATATTGTTCGTTCTTCTTCAACTGAATAATGGCGGTAAATTTTTATTGCTCTCATGGTCTAATTTTGTTCATTACAAGGAAATCATTCATATATATAACATACCTTACTATGGCATCTTCTTGAGGTTCACAAATGCACATTTTACTATCTGTATTTATCAATGCTGAATAGTGTACAGAATTATGATCGTTTATTCCATCTAAATTTGTATTATTTTGTCCAGTTAATGTATTATTGATAACTAACGGCTGTTTTGACCATAAATTATTTGACTCAGTTTTATTTAAGGTTGGATTCCTTATCGTCGAAATGTAATCAACACTGTCATTATTTATATTGTTTAATTTGTTTGAATAATTTGTCAATTTCTGTTTTGATGATAGAATTGGTAGTTTTTCTAGTAATCGATCAGCAAGAACACGATGTGGTTCATCTGAAATTTGATTATCGTTATGTATTTGTTCATTTGTAATTAGTTGATTATCATACATAAGAAGACGTGCAAATCGATTAAGCTTGAGAATTAATGAAGCAGTCAATTGTTTTGAATGAATATCTTTAGCCTACAATAAATAATCAAGGGAAAAATATGTTAACAGAAATCCAATAACATTTTAATATGGTTATATCCTACTTTTAATATTTGCATATGTCTTGAAATTCAACATCACTTTTGAGAAATCATCTAAACATTTAAAATATTTATATCAGAATACGAACTTATAATGGTTGTAACCATTGAAGTATTCGGATAATATATATCATCATTTTTGTATGAATAAGAATGTGATTTCCAGTATACTAGATCATACAAAATTTAACATGGCTCGTATGTAAGTTCACAATTATTCATGAGGGATAACAGGCGTAAGTAAGTAATTGAGTAATGCAAATCATGTACCAATTATAAAAATTTCATAAAATAAAATGAGTTCATAATATTTAGTGGAATTGTTGTTTCAAGTTTTTGGTTCAGGTTGATGAAGTGAACTAAACGTTCAGTTTGAATCACGCTAAATATAGGGAGACTAATTTGGGATGTTTGAAAGAACATCCTTTCCCAATAGTTTTCTCCAACGAGTCTAACAATATCTTCATTATATTCCAGGTCAACTAGGTCAAGTCAACCAAAGATTGGAAAAACTTTCTATTAACGCCCTAATATGTTAGGTCCTACCTTTCCCCCTCCTTAGACATACATTTAATCTTGGTAGTTCAAATTACAAACGGGTCTCAGTTTAACTAACACTAAAAACTAGGAGTATCTCCTAATCGTTCGTTATTAAAAATCACCGTAGACGGTCCAAAATCACAGATTCCTAATTGATGAAACTAAACATAAGGTAACTGAAAACAATTAATGTCCCAAAGTTTCTTTATTCAGTGGTAGTTATATTCTAACTGCTCAACTGAGCGAACTTATTTAGAAAAACTATCATTACTTAAATATTACTAACTGACTTATAATTCGAAGCTACACTGTTGTTCAGATAATAAAACAACGTCATCTCTGAACTTCAAAGATCAGTTGAAAGATGTGGTCTATCTAACGTCTCTTCATCATGATATGAAATATAAAAGCTGCTCAACATATACATATGATTGATAAAATTTATTAAAAATCAGGAATCATCGGATAACTGTATTTTCCTTTCATTGGACTTAGCAGCACGTTTCAATGACTTATTCAGGGATCACAAATAAGACTCTCTGATTTCATAGTGTGTTAAAAAAAAAGTTTATCTATAAATTCCAATTCCATGATATATAGTTTCAGGTGCATGTCTTAACATTTAAAAGTCTTGTACTCTATCCTTGAAGGGTTTATCAGTTAACACTTATAAATGATTGTCTAGTGTGTTGAAAAGGCTATTTAATGGAATCTCAATTTATGAAGAAAACCACTTACAAACTAAACTTATCATCTAGAAACCTCTTAACCAAAATATCATTAACCGTTCACATCATGTTTAGTTTGCCTAGATCAATTTATTGATTGTTAAACATTTTATTTAATACCATATGTTTTGTAGTAGGGATGAATTTACAGTTAAAACACACATTATCTTTCAATTAATTCTCCACTACTATTTATTTATCAGGTTAGTATCTAAATTGTATGTGAAAAACATTGTTTTTTTCTGAAGTAGTTAGTTTCTATCTTCGTCAGCTAGGTCTATAAAACTGATCTCGGTTCTTTTTCACAATTTTTTTTGATTACATAACATACTTAATGTACGAATACCAATGGAATTTTATTACATTTCTTGAAAAAGTTCATGAAGAAGAAAATATGTAAAACAACTATGATGTCTCCGTTTGAATTGAACACTAATTATATTTATAAAAGCTGTACAGTTTATCAAGTGGTTTACAAGTGCAATTAATCAGTTAAAATAAATCTAAAACGAAAAAAAAAACTTGGAAAATTTTTGAACTTGAAAAAGCGATGCTCCAGGAATCTTAATAATCTGACTTATTTTATGTATTAGTGTGGCCCTTCATTTTGATGCTAATTAGATCGCACGATGATGTTATCGACGGGTTCATCACTTTTTAGTGGACCTTGTATCTGATTTCAATTGGATCGTATGAATCATTTTTGTTGAAATATACATCACGGCTACCCTCTTATATAGTCATCGACTGTAATTACGTTAGTGAATAACGGAGTAAGTCAAATACGATAATGAAATTTTGAATACGGATATTATGTGCATTTATTAATCTGAACAGATAATCAGGAAAACGAGGCAAATGAAGCGGAGAGGAGAGAGCGAAGAGAAAGAAAATTTCACACATTGAAGGCGAGTGAGTCAACTCGATTTAACCAGGCGTGACTTGACATTTATAGTCAGAGAAGAATAGGTTACAGATATGTTGTGAGTAGGGTAAAAGATTAACACATACGCTTATACAAAAACAGTCAAGGTTAATAAGTAAATAATTGACAAGCTCAAAATGTGACTCAAGAAGAATAAAAAACTGGACTATGTGGAAGCTAGAATAACTTATGTGGGCTTGATTTAGTGTGGTGTGTGCTACTGATGTCGACAGATATAAGTATTATGTATCACCAATCGAAAGTGGGATGATTGGAAGCAGAAGATTGAGAAAGTCAAAGAGAAGAAAACGAGAATAGGGAGTGATTGGTATGGAAACGAAAGTACAACATAGTCTAAATATTTTGCAAATCAAGTATTTTGATATGGTTCTTAGATTTCACCAAGATATTCTGTAATGTTGTTGGTTTTCCCCATCTGTGTTCTTGTTCACTACAATAATATCAGCCACTACAATGTTATCGAAGTTAATTATTGACAATTCTTGAGATAGGCTAACAAAACGTTTACATTCAAACACCGAATACTATATATATATATATATATATATATATATATATATACTTATGTATTTATTAAAATAAATCAAAATAAACTTACAATACTAACTAAATAATCTGCAGCAGCTAAAGCGTCAATCCAATCACTACTTTGACAACCCGGTTCAACAGGAGCATATGCAACATAGATTTGGATTAAACGTTCAATTATTTTATCAGGACTTGTAAATGTTGGATAAGTTAAACGAATCACATCAGGAAATAAATAATCTGGATGACTAGCTAAAAGTAGATCATAATTATGAATAATATTTAAATACATGAAAGTTAATATTACGTTTTAAACAATTTAATTATATTAGTTTAATAAATTAAATTGACTACGAATATAAAGTACAAGGAAGTCTATATTACTGAATGACAATACATATGGCTTTTTAATTTAACTCTTATTTAAAACAATCAATCCTTTTGACAAGTTCCCTTAATATAATTCTGATAATCTTTATCTTTTCGTTGCATTATGGAAATTAACCGTTATTAAAGAATGAACATACAATAGCTGAAGGATTTACTAGTAGTTCTGGCTTTAAAAGATAGTATATGAATTTAGTGGATAGTTATTGACGGTAAATAATTAACACAATCTGTTCATGTGTATGATGAGGATCATGATGATTGTATGTGTGGTATTCACAGCTGAAATCTGAACCGTTCCTTAATTTTATAATATGTATGTTTTAATCTAATAAGTATGTTTTTTTAAGAGTATTATGAATAAACTATTTTTTAGGTAGCATACCTAGGGAAAACGGTCTAAATAATAAGCATTACACTTATCTGTTATTGAAGATGTCCGCCGACTTTTATTCCTGATGCCACGAGGAAACCTTGAACTAGACTTAGTACAAGCTGAAACTCATCGGTAAGCCGTACCTGCAGATTTAGGGTTCGAATCCCACATGAAGCTTCAGTTCCCTCAAAGTCACATATGACAGTTGCTGGCGAGTACTAACTAGCACGAAACCTAGGTCTGTAGTTTTCTCCTGACTAGTTAAAGCCACCTAAAATCTAAAAATAGTGTGGTCGATGTTGAGTCATGTAGGTTAGAAGACACATTGAGACTTGATGCACAAAGTTTGATCAGCACCAATGGACCAAAAAAGGACGACATTAGTCGCTAGTGTGTTGCCAACCAATTTTTTTGTCGATATTTGATTATTTAAACAATTTAATGGACCCAACTTGATTAGATCATAAATTGAAAAACGATTTCGCGAAGCATGTTTAAAATATGCAAGAGTAATTAATCGAACAATTCACCTCAGTGCTAATCAAAAATAGTGAAAATTTAATATTTCCCATGTAAACACTTGTTGGTAATGGTAGTCTTTCCTTAATTGCCACAATTTCATTTTCAATTTGTAATTATCTATATTTTAAGACATTTATGAAGATCTCTGAATTCTCATACATTTTATCACGCACTGAGCTTGGTTCAGTAACCACTGAAGAATAAGAATCACTGGGAAGCTGTTTCTCCCTAGCATGGGACTCCATAGCAGTAGAGATAGTTATCTACCGCAGACAATGGAAGATGGTTCAGACACGCACATCAATTTAAAGTATTTGAAAATGCATTTTCTTTCCATACAGTGAAGACGCGCATCTATACAGAATTCTAGATACACGATAGATGGTAATGTGTTTAGTACTAATAGTAGAGTCATAATGCATTAGTGGAAAACTACAAATCATGAAAAATCCTTTTTAGAAGATTAGTATACAGATTTTTTGGCCTAAAGGCAAGTCCTTAACTCCATATGTAGTTGTTTGATTTTATCCTCTCAATAAGTCTTTTTGTTATCTGAACATAACATTCCTGGTCTTCGTCACTAGACGAAATGAAAACACTTGAAAATGGAAAACGACAATGAATATTAAACTGTAGTTTTAAGTGACATTTTGACTTTTTGCGGAAAAACTAGGTTTTATTATTTTCAATTTTATTTGTTGATGTTCTCCTTTAACTGTACAAACAAAATATTTACGTTGATTTAAATAACCGTTATTGGTACTTCCTTAAGACCTATATTGTTTATTTTATTTTGCTCACTTGGTTACTGATAGAAGAAAAAGTAGTAAGAATCGAAATGTAATCACGTTAAAAGCAATTCGTTTAAACAACGTATTACGATGATTCGGTACAATCATTAGATAAAGATCGATTTCTACTGTACCTGGGCCCATCTTTAGAGGTTCTGTACTCAGACGTTTGCTAATTTTTGTGGTCATTATCAGAGGATCTTGGAAACAGATTTGTTAGTTATGCAGATAATAATTTTTTAGCTTGTGATATTACGTTGTTTGAAATAGGTAAATTTTTCGCACATGAGAGTCATAACTTAATCATCTAGTTATTTAACGAAAACCCGATTAATGTTTCGTGTTGATGTAGCGATGGTACAAAATATGATATCTATCCACATTTCATGATAAACTGAAGGATCTATGTACGTAAATACTCCATAATTTGTGTTTAGACCACTTCTGAAACAGCATTTTGCAAATAAAGCAACAAAAATGTGCTTTAATTTTTTCATAGATCGATGAAAGCGTTCACAATACTCTGCGTTTAGTGTCTTTATCAAACAGAGTTACATCTCCGGTATGTTTTTAACCGATGACGAAGTCTGAAGAATCATATGAAAGGGAAACTCAGGAAAATCTGTTTGACATGATGATTTTCTGTGTATATGACAAACGAAATCATGCATACGAGCCTGGATTTTAACAACTCTAAATGATAACGAAGACTTATATTTTTTTTCTAGGTTCATTGATATTGAAAATCCCTTTGGTTACTCTATTCTTCTATTATTACGGTGAAAAACTGATTTTCTCTCATGAAACAGTCAGTATTACAGTAAACTACCGTGAACCACAGCGTTTTGTGTATGAGATGCAGCGACGATCAATTCTCATACTTCCTTGTACTATAATGATCACCATATTGTCTGTGTAAACGTGTATGCTTGATCACATGACAGTCTATTCACATACCTCTCCAGCCTAAATATCGCTTGATGAATCATTCTCGTTCCCATGGTATGTATGTACTTAAATCCTATTATTAGCCTTTGCCTTGTCTTGCTGCGCCTTATTCCATTTGACTTAAAATTTGCCTCTGTAACTGTTCGCATACACACACATCCGCCTCTGCTTCAAATTCGCTCGATATACTTATAAATTTGGTGTCTGTGTTATCGGCTAATAAACTCTAGATGCTACTTCTTGTTGCCTTCTTATTTCAAACACCATTGAGATTTATATAATAAAGGTTACGAAGGTAATTAATTAACGGAGCAAAGCCACTACAAAGTCACCAAAATGAATAAACCAATTCCTTTCTAACCTTTGACCTTTCTATTACGAGTATATTTTCGTATGTTAGAGGTCATTATTTTATTTCGATTTGAATCAACTGTATCATTCGTGATTTTGAAATTGGAATAGAATCACATTATTTTTTTTATTTTGCACGCCTGTAAACTTGGAAGCGCTATACATTAGAACAAATCATGGAAATATATTACTGAGCAGTCAGCTTTCCAATTACCACAATTTACTTTGCATTAATCGGCAATCTATGGATCAAATCTTTATTATTGAAGATTTTGGTAATAAGTTATGAGAACTATTTTTAGATATAAATTGATAATACTCCATTAAAATTTTCCACGCAAATAACAGTAGACAAAATTATTTTTACAGAGACTATAATTTATGGACGAACCAATCAGATATAAGATAACGCGTCTTGAGTTTTGGCGCGAAATTCATTCATCAATTTGGCCAAGTAGCGTTTTGACATCATAGCTGATGTCAATTCGTGATCAAAACCCTAAATCTAATTTCTAACCTTAATCATCAACTGTAAATCATAATTCTGATTCTACACACTGGTTTATAATCCTCATTTAGTCCTAGTTATTAGGTGGACACTTACATGGTCACTTTGGCGTCGTTCAAAGGTCATCCATAAATTATAGTCTCACCAAAATCTGAATGAAAAAATCCAAGTATTCGTAAGTTTCAAATTCAATATTAATTCGATAAAAATATGAGCATAAAACACAGTCTAGAACAGTTTTATATCACCAAATCATTTACATACTTAATTACCATTCGTTTGAAAGATCCCGACATGTAAATTAGTTTGTGTAAGTATTCGATATTGAAAAAAAAATTGAATGTGAAACTCAGTAAATCATACATCATCTAAACATAATATAATACATGGTGTTGAATAACGTATCGTTGTCTTTGATAATGAAACCATTCAAGTGTTTTCAAAACAAAAAAACTAGCCACATGAAAGACCATTAGGAACAGTACTGTTTAGATCTTTTTTGATTAATGATATAAATTGGCCTCCTTGTTTGACATTGAATTAATTTATGCTGTCTTACGATTATTTTTTGGTTTTGAATAATAATTTTCACAATTAAGTTTTAGTAAAAGTTTTGTCAAATCTGTTTTTTTTGGTTTTCCTTTTTTACAATTTAAGCATATGTATTCTGTTAAATAAGCATAGATTATGTGAAGACAAATTTTGCAAAACTAAAGTGTATTGAAACAAACAACAATTGGATAGAACTAGAAAGGTAGGTCCAAGACAGAGTGGGTTGGAGAATGCTGGTCAGTGGCCTATGCTCCATTGGGAGTAACAGGCATAAGTAAATAATTTATTTAGTAAGTGAAATGTATTGATCCGAATTTATATTGTTTGTAGATATTATACACAATTGTTTATTAATAAGATAAAATACGCTACAATTAGGCAAGCCTATGTTAAGTTGATGCCTAATCTTGTTGTAAAGATGGAAGAACTAAGGGAATTACAATAAACATTAAGATGCATTAAATCTACAGTCCTGAAGAATATGAAACTGAATGTGATACATACTATTTAGTCGTATTAGTATGTTCTTGCATTAGTATCATGGATATTAGAAAGATGTTTGAAGTCATTAACTGAAATAAAGCCTTAAATGTCTGACAAAGTATTTATCTGTAATAAACAGTTTATAGCTTTAACATTTAAATGGCCACTAAGTACTTATCGGTACTTATAGTCGATGTTTATTATTTCGTTTACAACGTATCAATGTTTACATATCATTTGGTACTAAATGCAATACAATTTAGTAGAAGATTCATTTCTGATGTAAACTTTAGGCTAACGTAATAATCACCTATTCTTTCATATAATTTATTTCAACAGATAGAATAAGTAAGGTTTCTAAATCATTATTTGTTGAAACAATGAATAATTTAGATTTGAGAACGTAAAACATACTTGGTATAGGCATCTGTAATAAATTCAATGCATATATAAGCAATCCATCAAGTGTTCCACCGCGTATCGTAGGTTCTGGTACGCTCACAGACTAAAAATATTATGAAAATAGTGAAAATATGTTATTTATTATGAGTTTAGTGTTCTGTTGACGGGAATTAAATCACTTTACACTCAGTGGTATTAGAAAACTATTGAAATTAAGTACATTATTTTAAAGCTTGAAAGTTAATAGAAATTGCGTTGAGTCTATCAAGTTGTGATTGAAACACCTATTTGCTGATAGTAATAGGCGTAAATTGTTTTATATTTTATGCACTTTCTTTAACCTTTTAATTTCTATTTAACGATAGACGAAAGAACATCAGGTTTTCATGGATTATTGAAACTCAAGTATTTTAAGTACATGTTCAACTAAAATTAATGATTCATGTGAAATATTTCTTCCTGTATGGGTTTTCACATACACAGATAAATTGATAAACATAATAGAAAGCGATCTATGTGCCTTCATTCTATTTGAATTTTTGGTGATGCATAGATTTCGCTATTTCAAGTTTGATAAACACATAGATCTATAAAAGGTTTAATCGATCAATTTAAGCTTTTATCTCAAATATATTTCAATCTCCTATGATACAAAAAATATTTTTAGAAGTATAAACGAAAAGTAGTTTTTAGTATTTCAAGGCCCCTCTAATGGTACATGAATTGTAATTGTTTTCCAGTGTTTCATTTTATGACTAGATCTTGCTTCGTTTGCGTCGATGTGGCCGATTCTATTTACTGCGTGTTTAGTATATCTTGTTTTTATTTAATTGGACAGTAATTGTGAAAACTGTGATACTGTTTTGTTCATACAAGCTTACTAGAACAAGAATATATGTACAAACCATTTTCTCTGATGATGATAAATATACCAAATAAAGAAGGCTGTCTAGTTTATCTGCTCTTCATCTTAAAAGCCTATGTGACTTCGAATTGTATTTCACTTTTGATATTATTTCCTGATTAATCGCATATTACAATGAAGTGATTCATTTTTCAAATACATTGAATAGAATATATGATTTGATAAGATTGAATTGGATTAATACGGTGCAATTATGCTACTTAAACAGACTATGAAAACTAGTTACTTTGTTTAGTAACTACATTTCGTTTAAATAAATACTTCATACTTTTGAAGAACTGTTATCCTTTTAGGATTGTTGAAATACTATTTATTATCAAAGTATCCTCAGTACAAAACACTGCAGCTTTGGCTAGAAAAGCAGTTTCATATATAGGTTACTCAACACTTGTCATCTGAACTCATCTATTATTTTGATGTGACTGATGTTCTATATGTCATTCGAAACATTATCATTCAGTGTCATAACTAGAAACGTTACCATTAAGCTACAACAGGAAAGATTGACTGAGGTGTTTATAGTAATTAATCATTTAGCAGTTTCCATGATTTTACTATTTAGATCTTAGTGATAAATCTTCATATTTTTTTATTATTAATAATATTATGTCCCAAAACCCTTCATCAACTTTGTATAACTTTGTATGGTTTTCAGGAATTTAATCGATACTAAGGCTTGGAAAAAATGACAGTTACTGATGAGTGCATAATAATTTTCAAAAGTGGTTCACCAATATGAAGATTGTGGATAAGCTACCACGTTTATTTAAAAATACATTTCGCTTACCGACGGTGAATGTTTTGGTGTATTTATTTTTGTAGGAGTATTGCTATTATTATCCTTATAAATGGGATTGAATATTAACTGTGATTCAGGATCTTTTGTTCTTAATGACACTGGGCACCATGAGTTCGCTGTTACCAGAACACGAGTCTCATCAAGGTCATTAGATTTAGTCAAAATATTTTGTTTGACATCATCATTATCGTGTGGATCACGTATAGGTTTACCCAAAAGAATTGTTGCAGCAGCCGCGGATGGACAAATCGATTGTAACAATTGTAGGCGATCATTTGAACACTGAATAAACTTTGCAGATGTTGACTGAATATTATCGTCTGGTTTCATTTCATATCTAGTAATATTTCATGATACATATATAATGAGTAAATATCATTTTTATGATCGTCAGAAAATGATAGAACAAGCAAAGAATTGTGTTAATTCGGTCAATATTCCACTATGACTGTATGGTGACTTTAAAGATTATTACGAGGTACCAATCAAGTATTGATAATGAGGTAACGAACAATACGTAGATGGTACTATGATTGGTAAATTTAAGTTAATGTAGTAAAAAGTCATAAATCCATTTGAAAAATTTCAGCACAAAATCTGAAGTTTTATAACGGTGTTGTTCAACAATACACACTTTCATTGCAAACGTTGAAAGATATATGAAAACAATTGTTGCCACAGCGATTATCTCTCATTAATCTGAATCAAAACTAATTTCGACCCATTGTATTATTTACAGAGGTTTTATTCACGAGGTGATCTATTCTGGTTAAGAGAGCCACGTGTACCTGAATTTCTCTTTACATACAAACATTCCAATATACTTGGGTTTTTTCGAACAAAATAGAATGATCAAAAGAAACGTTCCATTTTTGAAGTATACACTTTTAGGTTTCTCAGCGCTTTAAATCCTGATAGATTGTAAGTCTTAAAAATTGTCATGGGAATAAAAAAATCAAGTGATATGTATAGCTAGTCAGTTAATACAAAACTTAAGTAAGAAACCAAACTGCAATATTTGAAAAGCTGAAAAATAGTTTATCCAGAGAAATAAACTGGTCACAGCATGCTGTAAAATAGTCACAGAGCACTCAGCAATTTAATATGACTGAACTAAAAAACATTGTTAAAACCACTGATTCTGATATACGTATATATTGCGTTTTGCACACACATACACATGATCAAAATGCTTCGAATTTTAACACAAACATTTCCAATTTTATTTTCACTTATAATTAATTTAGTTCAATCTAACCCGATATGAATAATGTAAAAAATAAAGGCTCTTGTAAACATAAGATGGTGGTTGGAGGTAGTCAACAGGAAACCCTGGGTCCAGGTTTCGTGCTATTTGCCACTCGTCAGCTAGGTGTACCTGCAATCTTGAGGGAACTGGTGCTCTCTGATAGATTCGATCCCATGTCACCCAGCTTTACAGTCAGAGACGTTACCACTGGGCTTCTGTAGACAGAAATCTTGTAAACACTCACATAGAAATGATGAATTATATAATCGTGGACTAGATTTATTCCCAGCAGATAAGGTAAGAAAGTCAGGTAATTTTTGTCACCTCAGAAATGAGAGGTTCAATCAACATATCAATACTAATATCAAGAGTATAAAAAGTTCTGGAGCATTTAAAAAAAGAAAATGTTGTACCATAATTTTTCCTTTAGTTTCTAAAAAGAAATACTAACAACAAAATGGAATAAATCACCAATAGATCATCGAAATCTATAAAACATTTCTCCCCCTAACAACAAACAGGTCACAATAACCCCGTTTTATTTTACTAATTTGTATCATTCAAAAGTATTCAGTTAATGTAATCAATATTGAATTTCTTATATACCAATGTAAAACTGTCATTATTTCACAAAATAAACCCATATAAACAAAATCAATAATTTTGAGTATTATACTTCATGAATGATAAATGAGATATGTTTCTAATTTTAGCATGAAACAATCAATTCTAATGGTTAATGTTTGTTTCAGTTCAATCGAGCATGTACTATGTTTTTTTAGAAATTTCACTTGATAAAACCGTAAAAGTATTTGATTGAATTGGGTTGGTCCCTTTTTATTAAAACAATTGATTTTGTTTATTTTTCAGTGAGAATTGAATTTGAGATCATATCAATAATCAATTGTTAGTATCTCTTGAAATCCTAATGTTTATTGAAGATTATATGTTTGTAGTTGATTTAAATAATCCGTAAACCTATTGTCGTTTATTACCAAAAATCACAGTATATTAAAAAGGATGGTGGAATACAGAACAAGTGTTTTGTTCTGTTTTAGACTCTTCATCTTGATGTTCTTTTTTTATCTCAATAACTAGTGTTCACTGAGGGGCTCGGACCCAGTACTTTGCGCTTCAAATGATAATACCTTGTTCACTTAACTACTGAATTCATATTGTTGATCACCCGCTGTTAGTTATATTTCGCACAGGATTCACATTTTTCAACTAAGATTAACCAAATTTCAACGGGATAATCTAAACCATTAAAAATAGATTAAAAGTTATAGTAGTTCTTGTAATCAGCTTGCTGAATTATCGAAAGATAATGACTTGATTAAATTAAGAGGATAATATTGTAAAAAGTCATGTGAGTATATTCAAGAGAGTTAGGTTCATCGATAGAGTCTAAAATAAAAGTTTTTTTAGTCATAACAACCTTTGACAACAACGTTAAGCGTGTAACATAAGACTATATGTCAGCTCAAAATGTCAAAAAATCGGTAAATTACTTGGTTAACTGTTCACTATCAAATAAAAATGGATCAGTAAGATGTATTGGAGTCGAGCTAAAGGTATGTTCCTCTTGTTCACACCCTTTACCTTGGAGATCTTCATCTAGTCCACTTAGAGTATCTCCTTTCTTCTTTTCGCCGCTTCGATTAAGCTGATTACAAAAAGGAAAGAAGAATATTTTTGATGAAAGTGACGAATAATGGTAATGTTAATATTATTTATTAACTACTATGTATTGTCATAATCTTTCTCATCAGTGACCATAAGAGAAAATTGAATATGATCCAACTGCTATTGAATACCATGGTAAAACAATTTCATTTGAAGAATCTTGGAGATATCAAGTGACAGAATTATTACATATTGACCAAATGGGATGTTATGAATACAGTAGACTAACATGTGGGTTGCTTACAAATGATTTAAATCCCGATTTCCTTGAGAAAGACAGATATATTGTCCACTGACTGTTATAACTAATTACTGAATACTTTATATGAATACATATTTCTTATTTATAGTACTTAGATTAATTGCCAATATATAAAACGAATCACTTAATTTTTTATTCAATCCCTATACTATTGTAGTGGCTGTGCTTCGTTAATCAATCACACTCGTAACCGTTACCATATAATCCTCAACAGTGTTGGAAATCAGAAGGCAAAGATAAGCAGCGACTTCAGTTTTATTAGCACATAACTCAGATCACAAAGCAGAGAGGCAAATGAGTGAGTCAGCGAACCGAGAGTGTAGAGTGTTAAATGTACATATATATATAGGGAAATGAATGGATCATCGAATCAATTAGGCAGCTAATAATAAAGCTAGGAGAATGAATATATGCATAGGCGGTAAGCAATGTTCAAGCATACAATTTGATACAAGCACAACAATGATAAATGTACAATAAGTTGTTATAGTAAGGATGACTTTGTCCGCTAAATAAGTTAACAAAATGGCATGACTGAGTTGAATGAGAACAAACTCAATCGCACTTCAGTTGCTATAATAGCTCCATCATGCAAACAAAGATATATGGTAAAAATGTCTGTGTTTGCACAAAGAATAGTAACCTGAATAGAGTAGTTACAGTTGTTTGAAGAAATGGGATTATACATAATTAGGATGAAGCTAGTGTGTGCTGTGCATTTGGTTCGTGCGTGTCTGTGAGGTTATGTAAAATAAAACTCAGAAACAGAAGGAATATGATATCGTTTATTTTCTTAAAAAAATTATACATATAAGCGTAAAGGTTCATAAGATATGCTGAGTTTTATAGTGTATAACATGAGCTTAATAATCCATATGTATACAGCGAAGTGGAAGAGTTATGAATAATATTTAAAGTAGCAGAAAATTATCAATAGAAAGTTATGGCGACATAGCGTTGAGGCCATCTTACTCTGCGGCCAGATCTTGTTGTTACCGGCGTTTCGTTTTTTTGCTGCGTTAGCGTCGTTGATTCTTGAGACTCGTGTTTCGTTGGTGTGACCATCTTCGAGGAGTTTGTACTTGTTGATTGAATATCACTATCGATGAAAACTGCTTTCACTCAATCGATGCTGATTACATCTGAGTTCCCAGCTTTTTCTATGGTAGGCGTTTTATCTGTCCTCGCTATCACTTCAAATGAGCCACCGTAACTCGGTTGTATAGGTAGTTGTATTTTATCTCTTCTAATGAATACGTGAGTGCTGTTATGTAGTCCCTGTGGTCTGGGAGGTGTTATGTTTAAATCGTTCATGTGTTTTCTCGGGCGTTGTACATAGTTGGTTACATCAGCCGGAACACATTTACTGGAAGTGAAGATTTCTCCGGGTAACCGTAGAGTACTTCCGTATACCAACTCGGCTGGGCAACATCCCATGTCCTGTTTAATTGTTGCTCTTAGAGCTAACATTACTAGTGGAAGCTTATTGGTCCAATCGTTGTTAACAATGACGGATTTAAGGGACACTTTTAATTGCCTATGTAGGCGTCCGACCATTCCGTTTGACATTGGATGGTAAGACGTCGTACGAATTCGTTTAATACCGAGGAGTTCTGTAAGCTGTTCAGAGAGTCAACTTTCAAATTGTGCTCCTCTATCAGTTGTGATAATCATTGATAAGCCGTAGTAAGAAATCCAATTTCAACTAGGGTTTTGGCTACCGATTCGGCTGAGGTGTCTTTTTTCAGTACTGCTACCGGCCATCGTGTAAACCTGTCGATGCATGTAAAGACATATTTGTATCCATTCGAAACAGGCAGTGGTCTTACAATATCGATGTGTTTATGTTCAAATCTAGTATCTGAGTGTGAAAATGGACCCACTGCGGAGCTAGTATGACGATGTACTTTGACTTCTTGACACTTCATGCATGCTTGTGTCCAATTACGCACATCGTGATTCATGTTTGTCCATACGAATCGTTCACTGATCAGCTTTATCGTGGCTTTTATTCCTGGATGCGACATGTTGTGCATACTCTCAAATATTTTGTGTCGCAGTGATTTCGGGATAAATGGTTGCGGTCGGCCTGTCGATATATCTCACATTACTTTCGTGTTACCGAGCCGCACTTCTTCGAACACTAATGATGTCGTACTATCGGATCTGAGCTTATTTAATTCAATGTCTCTCTATTGAAACTTTGCCGGATCGTTATAATCAATTCCACTTGCAATAAGTGTGTTTATCGTTGCTCTTGACAGTGCGTCAGCCACGTCGTTTTCTTGTCCTTTAATGTATCGTATATCGGAGGTGAACTGTGAAATGAACTCCAACTGTCGGATCTCCTTCGGAAAATAATTGTCGTGCTTTGCGCTTAATGCTTTCGTAAGTGGTTTGTGGTCTGTGTAAACGGTAAAATTTATGCCTCCCACCATATGACGAAAATGTTTTATTTCTAAGTAAATTGCTAGCAGTTCTCTTCCGAAAGTACTATATATTGTTTGTGTCGGATTCAGTCTTTTCGAAAAAAAATGAGGGCGGATCCCATGTGCCCTATAGTAATTGTTGTAAAACGGCTCCTACCGCCACATACGATGCATCCGTCACGATAGCTAACGGTGTTTCGCTCTTTTGTCTAGTAAGTGTCGTTTCTTTGTTTAGTGCTTTTTTGGCGTGCTCGAATGCTTGTATCGCCTCTGGTGATAAGTGGAATGTCCGTGCGTGTCCCCGTAACGCATCCGTTAATGGTTGCAGTATTGCCGCACAATGCGGAATAAATCGTCTGTAATAATTTACTTACCCGGGAAATCGTCGTAACTTCTTCCATGAGTCGGGTAGCGGATAATTTCTGATGGCGTCGACTTCTGTTGCTACTGATGTAATGCCCTGAGAAGTTACAATGTGATCTAGGAACTGTAAAGATTCTCTTCCAAATTCACACTTCTCAATGTTTATGGAAATGCCATGTTCTCGCAGTCGCATGAATCATTGTCGTAGCTGTTGTATATGCTCGTCCATAGTGGCGCTTGCTACTAGTAAATCATCGATATATGCGTATACTCCAGGTAAACCTCTGATGACCTGGTCGATAAACCGTTGAAAGGTTTGCGCTGCGTTTGTCAGCCCGAAAGGCATGCGCAGAAATTCATATAGCCCAAATGGGGTCGTTACCGCTGTCTTCGGTATGTCTTGTGGAGCAACAGGAATGTGATATTATGCTCTAATTAAGTCGATCTTTGATAAGACAGTAGCTTCCTCTATACTGTAGGTAAAATCGTGGATATGCGGTACAGGATATCTATCAGCTACTGTTTGCTTGTTGAGTGCTCGGTAGTCTCCACATGGCCTAACTTCTCCATTCTTTTTCGGGGCCATACGTAATGGGGATGCCTTACAATGCCCAGCCTCATCAACTTGTCGAATTCTTGTTTTGCAATTGCTAGTCTTTTGGGGTCTAACCTTCTTGGCCTTGCATTAATTGGTGGCCCATTCGTTACGATGTGGTGCCGAATGGAGTGTTTGAGATCCGCCTTATTGTACATTACTTTCACAAGTTCGGGAAATTCCTTCGACATTAATTTATATGGATCACCGCGGCTTTTATCTATCATTAGATTCATGGAAACGGCTTCTGTAAGTGTTCCTCTTATCGGAGTGGTGTGACTACCATTTATAAGTCTGTGACGCCTCGAGTCTACTAGTAGATCGAAGTCACATAGGAAATCGATGCCTATTATGGGCACTGATACCTCTTCTATGACAAAGTCCCAGCGGTACGAAGCGCCTCGTCCGAAATCTAAAGACAACTGTCGTTTGCCGTATTTTTTTTATATCGGATTTCTTCGCTGCTCCGAGTACTAGTGATGCATTAACGTTTCTTCTTTCTTCGCTTACTGGAGGTACTACGCTGATTTTCGCTCCAGTATCAACTAAGAATTGCGCACCAGTGGTTCGGTCTTGTATATAAAACAGGCGACCATTTGCAGGCATTATGTTCGTTGATGCCGTCGCCATTGACAATCGTGGGTAACGCTTACCTGTTATGCTAAATCTACAAGGTTGTAAACACTTCCTAGCTCTATAGCCGTACATTTGATGATACCAGCATATCAAGGGAACTGTGGGCCGTCTAGAAGCTGATCGGTTTCAGTCGCGCGAGCGATCTCGTGATGATCTTCGTGGCCTTCCGCTCTGTGTTAATTCTGTGAGCTTGCGGCACAAAACATTTACCTCTTTCTGTAGAGTACTAGTTCTCTCATCTATCGTCACGCAGTGTAACGGAGGGCTTGTTTGCTTGGTTGTTTCGTATATTCTACCGGCTATTTTTGCTATGTCTGTATCGGCATCCGTATCCCCGAGTGCTAGGGTCTGCTGTACATTTGACGGAAGTCGGCGGAGCCATAGTTGATAAAACAAGTTATTGTCTATTTGCCTGTCGCCCAGCAGACTGTTCATATACGTTTTTAGCTGTTACGGAATTCTATCCCCTAGCTAGGCCTGACTAGGATGCTGCTCAATAGCTTGTTGGTCACATAGATAGAGAGTTTTAATTGCTACTTGCTTTAGCACGTCGTATGGCTTTTCAGTGTCTGGTTTCACTAACGCCTCTCGTACGCTCTCTGCTACTTCATCTGGAAGGAGTTTGCTTGTGAGGCCGAATCTACCTCTTTGTAAGTTAATGCGGTTAGTCTAGAAATAACTTTCAAGTCTAATAAACCAAAGCTTTGGGTCGGTGACTTTAAAAGAGGGGACAGGAAGAATAAGAGACCTCGCGGACGGAGCTCGCTGTAAACTTAACAGTGTTTTCGAAAGACATGTTTATAGAAAATTTAAATAGTACACGAATATAATGTAACTGTCATAAAGAAAAATGGACGGACAAAAACAATGATTATAACAAATGGTACAATTTATAACATAGAACAGACTTACTAAATCGCACCAATATATCAATTGTTTGTGAATAATCGTTACTTATTATGATTTTTATCGTTAGGTTCAATAATGTTTGTGAAATAATGTACGTGTAATTAAAATAGTAATATAGTAAATCCACAGTTATGATTATAGTCTATGTGATAATCCAAATTGAGACGAAGTGCGTTGAATTTTCGGAATTTGACTATATCGTCGAAAGTCGTTTCCTGTTCGCACGTCAAGGTTACGAGTTCTGTAGTGTCTGTGCTTCGTTAACCAATCACACTCGTAACCGTTACCATATAATCCTCAACAGTGTTGGAAATCAGAAGGCAAAGATAAGCAGCGACTTCAGTTTTATTAGCACATAACTCAGATCACAAAGCAGAGAGGCAAATGAGTGAGTCAGCGAACCGAGAGTGTAGAGTGTTAAATGTACATATATATATAGGGAAATGAATGGATCATCGAATCAATTAGGCAGCTAATAATAAAGCTAGGAGAATGAATATATGCATAGGCGGTAAGCAATGTTCAAGCATACAATTTGATACAAGCACAACAATGATAAATGTACAATAAGTTGTTATAGTAAGGATGACTTTGTCCGCTAAATAAGTTAACAAAAGGGCTTAACCGGGTTAAATGAGAGCAAACTCAGCTGCACGTGAGTTGCTATACCATATCATTATCATAAGTTGTATATGACGTAGTACGGATGCATCTTTATTGAGAATATTCTGTAGTCAAAATGGAGCATCTTATTGTTTCTTTGATCTTTAGTCAACCTTGTGGAGCAGTGTTTAATGGTCCGAGATGTGACTCCAGTTCGATCGTATGAACGATTTTTATGAAAACATACATATCGCTCATTCTCATATGAGATTATCGAATTAAATCGCATTAGTGAATAACGAAATTAAATAAGTTAGACATGAGAATGGATTTCGGATACGTGTATTTCGTCCAATCGTTGATCGGTAAGAGAAACAAAACGAAGTGACACGCGATGGGGAAAGCGAGTACGCCAACACGACTTAATCAAGCATTAATCGATATTTAGAGTCAGATGAAAATAAATTACATATATGTAATCAGTAGGATAAGCAATGCACACAAATACGCTTATATAAAACTACCAAGTTTGATATGCGAATAATTACCGATGTCGAAATATGACTCAAGAAGAATGAATAAATTGGCCTGTCCGGTAGCTATGTTGGCTTGACATAGCAACCGATACTACAGATGTTCCGAAACACAATAATGTCTTTATCTAGTTAAAATGATAAGCACTAATGGAAGTAGAATAAAATAGGCAATTCATCATTAAGTTGTGAATTTACTGTTGGCTGGTTGAAGAGAGAGATAATCATACCATATGAAATTTATGTCCTACTGCTCTCCATATTTTTTCAGTTACATCACTTTTAAAATATAATTTTGGAAGCAAAGGTTTGTTCAGCATCGTCAGTAGTTTTAATTCTAGTTTTTGTTCCAGATACATGTTTGATTTAGGATTATGATAAGTATTCGTGTTTACTAAGTAGATTATAAATACGTCGTATTTCTTCTTCAAGAGTGTGATTAGAATAGATAATTTCGGTTCTTTGGGCCAAGCATTTGAATAATTTTCTCTTATGTTGTAATGAGATAAAGCTCAAAATATGTGTGCATTGACTTTGTGTAGTTAGTTTCTCATTAACACTTTTTGATGTTCCACCAGGTCTTATCATCAATTCAAAATTCATTTATCTTGGTGGTGAAACAGACATCTAGGTAAACACTAGATAATTTTCAAGCTATAACATGAAGTGGTTGGAGTTGGAAATACGAACTACTAAATTTCCAATCTGTGTTTTAGAGAAGATAATTGCTCTCCGTATGATCTGAAGGTTTAAGATCAGAAATCTGCTAGGTTTGAATTAAGGGACTAAACAACTGTCTATGGATTTCATAATTTTAAGTTCTCCAGATGAAGTTACTCCATGAAATAAATAAAAAATTAAATAAAGTACTAAATATTCCTGTAAAGAAGTTAAATCTTACACTGGAAAAACTAATAAAACTTAACGAATAGAATTAGAATATTTAGCTTACATAAAATATACATACCTGACGAACTAGTCTTGTTTGTTGTACATAAGTACTCCTATGCAATGCTTTACCACTAGCTGAACTATGTTGTGTAAATCTTTGCAAACAAGCAACTGTACGACCACGGACATAAGCTCCTTGAAATTTTTCTATATTTTCTAAACCAACTTCTTCATGATGCCATTCGGGTGCAGTAGGAACAACGGTACCATTTAAATTTGAATTATTCTCAATAGACGAATTCAAAAATACAGGTAAACGTGGATCTAAAACTGGCTGTTGATCATCCCAAACACCAAATTTATACATGTAACCCATTACTAAATTTAAAACACATTAGTATAAAGTAAAGAAAATTGATCATTCTATATTTACTGAGAAATTAGTTTAGTACTTAACGTTTAATTTAACCTATCACTGAATTATAAACTACAATATTACTTGAGTTAAGGATAACTAATTAGATATGTTCCTGATCGAGATCATGAACCGATTGATGTTAGAGCATCACAATTGAAAACCTGGAAGCACTGGACGGCCGTTTCGTCCTATTGTGGGACTCCTCAGCAGTGCGCATCCACGACCCCGCGAGCGGGATTCGAACCCAGGGCCTTCGGTCTCGCGCGCGAACGCTTAACCAACTGGACCACTGAGCCGGCATCCAATGGTGATAGTTTCTAACATCAACCAATCCACGAAATTGAGCGACCAACTTCCATTGTACTCAGGTAGATAACTGTCTCTACCCGACAAGGATATGTTCCATTTGTACACTCTAAACTTTATACATTACGACTACACGGTTACTGCTTCAGTGAACTTATGCTTTGTTTTATATTGACAAAAAATAATTTGTTCTAAATTAAACTAATAACGTGAGTATATTATGCTTAGGTTAGACTAACCATTAATCGGTAGCTTTCATATATTCTTATGTCATATGAGATGCCAAAAGTGTATTTATTTATGTTGTTTATGATCAACGGACATTTATTAGGAGTTACTTAATTTGGCAACTCGATTATTTGTTATTGCTATAATTAATAAGCTGTTATAATTTATATAAAATTGGACATAAGAATAATATACTGTGACCTTGTAGGAGACTTATCAGCCAATGAGGAAACACTCCATAGTTATAAACGAATTATCAATAAATAGTAATAAAATAACAGTGCAAAAACTCCTTTAATCTTAACGTTTACTACTCACATGCCAAATTATTATTTTTAGTAAGGGTAAAAGGTCAAGTTTACATATCAGGAGTCGGGATAGTATTTTGAGTTAGAGTTATCACACCACTGAGTTCTCGTCACTAATTGACATCGGTTTTGGATTGGACTTACGAATTAGTACTGAGGTTTTCATCACGTACTGATATCAGTTATAATCCAATGTTTTACCATCCTTCTGTTTGCCAACTTAAAAAAACTTAGGGTCGAGATTTAGAGGAAGAGTTAGCAAAGAAGAATATTATCTAGCATCACTAAATATTCTTTATAACTCATTGAATCACATTAAGCACTATAACAAACAATTTGCCTTGTGAGCACATGCTTTATTATTTTAGTTTGAGCACTATCTTAAATTCACGTTCTGGTTGACTGATTCCTACAACTCTAAAAATTAATTCTTGTCAATTTTCATGTAATTAATAATAGTATACAAGTTATCTATTATTACACTTAAAATTTTGCACAAAATGTACAAACGATTATCTTAATTCTGATTGGTTAACTCAAGGCCATCAGAATATCATACTTGTAAATTCATATATTTTGTGCAAGTAAATATTTGTTCAAAAATAAATTTGCTTGTTAATCTCATTTAATGTAAATCTAATTCATAAATTAATTTATATTATTCATGTTGTGAAATGTTCAAAATTTTAATTAAAATTCGTTACCTACTGTGATATAGGATTATTTATACTAGTACATATACACAAAACCTAATTCCAAATGATTGTGATCATTAAGCTAAACATTTTGATGTATGTCCAATAGAAAAGGAGGTGGAATGTAATAACTGAATTCATGAGTCAATTAAAACTAGACCACCATGAAAAACCTGGAAGCGCTAGATGGTTGTTTCGTTCTTGTATAGGACGATTTATAAATTTAGGCATCAGTTAAAATATTGTTAAAATTTATTTTTAAGCTAATCTGTATGCTGTACAATTAACTCCACCTGTAGCTCTTCTAGAGTTACTACCGGTCTCAAGCCCGGCTAAAAAAGGAGGGTTGGGCATGGGGTTAGTGACCCCATCCCGTACAGAACTAGCTCGCTAAAAATACGCTAACCAGGAAAAATAATTCAAACCATTTAAACTCTGACCTGGGATTTAGAAGGTCTTCATTTAGAAGAACTATGACACCTATTGATGAATGCCAAGTTCCTTTGAAACTCACGAGGCCACCTCATCAAGATTTCAAAGAAAGGAGATCTGAGCAAATGTGAAAACTACAGAGGAATTACACTACTGTCAATACCAGGGAAGGTCTTCAACAGAGTGTTGCTGTACCGGATGAAAGGTGCAGTTGATGCCCAACTTCAAGATCAACAAGCTGGATTCCGTAAAGGTCGGTCGTGCACAGACCAAATTGCGACACCACGGATCATCGTTCAACAATAAATTGAGTGGAATTCAACACTGTACATCAACTTCATTGATTATGAAAAGGCATTCGACAGTGTAGATAGGAGGACATTATGGAAACTTCTTCGACACTACGGAGTTCCTGAAAAGATTGTCAATATTATCCGGAACTCATACGACGGACTACAGTGCAAGGTCGTGCATGTAGGATAGCTGACAGATGCATTCCAACTATGGACCGGGGTCAGATAGGGCTGTCTACTCTCTCATTTCCTCTTTCTTCTGGTGGTCGACTGGATTATGAAGACCTCGACATCTGAGAGAAAACACGGAATACAATGGACAGCTCAGGACCAATTAAATGATTTGGACTTCGCAGATGACCTAGCCCTCCTGTCGCATGCACACGAACGGATGCAGACAAAGACAGCCAGTGTGGCAGCAGTCTCTACATCAGTAGGCCTCAGCATACACAAAGGGAAAACCAAGGTCCTCAAATTCAAGGCGGAGAACAGCAATCCAATCACTCTTGATAGTGAAACTCTGGAAGATGTAGAATCCTTCACATACCTAGGAAGCATCGTCGATGAACAAGGAGGTTCAGGTGCAAACGTAAAGGGAAGCGGAAAAGAAGGAAGACCAAAGAACACATTACGTCGGGAAATAGAAGCAGGTATAAAAAGGATGAATAACAACTGGAAGGAGCTGGAAAGGATTGCCCAAGACAGGGTTGGATGTAGAATGCTGGTGAACGGCCTATGTTTCTTCACAAAGAATAACGGGCGTAAGTATGTAAGTAAGTAAGTAAAGTGTTTTCATAGTCAGTTTGTTTTTTATTATTGCCATCATATTACAAATTATATTTTATCATGTAATTATAATAGTTGTGAACGATTTTTCTATCGATTTCATTTCATACCTTTTCGAATCTTAACTTCAATCACTTTTTGGTATGATCCATGTTTATACCTACCACTTATCGGAATTAATGCGACGACTGATGCAAGTTTTGTCTAAAAAGAAATTTAGATTTAAGCACTTTGGTCAGTTACCATAAACAACAAATTTTGTTTTTCAGAGCCTAAATATTAAATAAAATAAACAACTTCATGTTTGTAAACAAAATTTATTTCATGAAGAAATTTACTTTGCTTCGATTTTGGCTCAATGAGTTCGTGATTGTTTTTAAACTCTTTGTCTTGTTTTGAAGTGTCTACTAATAAATCATTATTGATCGATGTACGTAATTTATTGAGTTGATTAGCTGATTCCGTTTCTTTGGACCTTCCTGGTATTGATTTAACTAAACTTCGTGTATTTTGAATGCCAGTAGATAGAGAACGTTTAAGTGAGTTCGATATACTGCGGACTATTTTTCGTGCTCTGGAACTAGATCTATTTACTTCAGATACATTTGCATTTAAATGTTCCATATTATCTGTTTGTTGAGTTAAGGCAATTGGATTAATAGTATCAATTAATTTGGATGATACTTCAGTTGAAGTTGTACATTGTGAACAACTTGAAATTTCAGTGTGCTTAGAATTAATCATACTACCATTAAGAGACCTTACAACAATTGCTGGTGAGAGGCAAGGTTCATCATTTTTTGTGTTATTTTTCGTATGTAAGACTGTGAGATCTAGACCAGGTCGACTTATTACTTGCCCATTAGGTGAACTAGTTGACTTAGCTGTGGACTGTTCATTTGAAACCATACTTGATACTTGTTCGTCATAGTGCGGAGATCTGTACTCATATTGATTTTTACTTGGTAGTCGAATTTCTGTATCAGTATTACTTCCAGGGAGAAAAAACACCTACGGAAATAAATAGAGTAAAATCTCTTGGTTATAGGGTTAAATTATACATGAACTATTGAGAAATTTTGATTTTTAAAATCTGTCACATGTGCATATTAATGCTAATTTTCCATAATGTGTAACGTTTTATAATGGTTTGAGTTTTACACTTAATATTGAATATAACAATCGATCAGTCTTCTTTGGTATATGTGGATTCGTAGCTGAATGCCTCTATATTGTCATTAAGTCATATTGTTTTAATGGTAATATAAAGACAGTCAGCTCAGGATGAGAATTCACCAAAAATTTATTGATGAAATGTAGTCCTTAATATCAACGGGAAGAGCTAATCCATTACAAAAATTTATTTATTTCAGTCTCACAATGTAGGTGATGTCTGGACTCAAGCAAAAGATAATGTGGTTTATGTTACTTATGCTTGCAGATATAAGTAGTATGTAACATCAGTCGGAAGTGGGATCGAAATGAAGAGGAGAGTGAAGGAAACTGAAAGTAATCAAGATAAAAACACGAACGAAGGAGCAAGGAAGCTTGTAAGAGACAATTAAAGTTGATGTGTAAATGATATATTTGATGTCTGATTTTCACAACTAACTATATGATTGTGTGATTGTGCTTCCAGAAAAACTTGGTATTCTCCACCTGTTTTCTCGTTCACTATGTACTATGCTCTGTTGAGAATAAGAATGTAAGCACCAATCGGTAGATACATTTAGTTGATGACTACTATATGGAACGAAATCAGTTTCCTGGATTTCACTGCCAGCTACAATCTAACCGAAAAAGCATTATTTATGAAAGTATTTGTCATACAGAAAGGTATTTATAAGATCTGACTTCATTATACAACTAATTCCATATGGATCAAAAATATTTCTTTTTATCAAAATATTATTTCTAAAATTCAAAAGCCACATTATTTGCTAACAATCTGGTGTTTACTGTGATTGTGCAGCATAGACTTATTCGTGGTGAGTAAAGTTATTCTACTACATTCCAATTCCTAAGGGATCCCTTTGTCAGATTATCGTAGTGGTAGACTTGAAGCATGTAATAACAAAATGAACTGTATCATTATGCCATATATTATTAATTGGTGACGTCATTTGTAAATGTAATTTCAATGTATTATGAGATTAAGATCCGGAAAATACTACTCTCCAGTAACAACAATTTCTCAATAAAAAAAAAGAAATTTGTTGTAGCCAAATAATCTGAAAGGTAAATCTAGACATACGGGATTGGTAAATTCGAATTTAAACAAAAAGATAGTGTAGAAAATTTGTAGCTCAGGTGGATGATTCATGTAGAGCTTTATTCTGTGAGCTGTATGGCTTAGTTGTGGAGCTTTCTGATAATGTTGTTCACAAGAACAATGACAACTCCATGACCAAACCATCCACCTCAGAGGATAAAACTCCACCTAAACAAAAAGATAACATTTATGAATTGAAATCAATCATAAGTTCATGAGGTTAACGAATGTTCGTAAGACAAAAATTTATCACTAACAGAATCTAATCAGTGAGGAGTTAATAAAACTAATGAAAAATATATTACAAACATCATGAAATAAATACTTAATCCTATCTGAGTCAATATATATTGGTCTCATGATGTGAACCTTTTTTATTACTAACGAATTAGTTATGAAACTATGTATTAGTTTAAAAAAATAATTCTCCTTTTTAACATCAAACAGTATAAGAGACTATTACAGACCAATACAAGCTGTCTAGTAATTACTGTCTTTCCATTTACTATCAATGAGAGATACAATTTTAATGTATAAAACTATATTAACGTAGATTATACGAAGCAATTAAATAAAGTAACGTAAACAACCCCGTATCCAACGACAAGTAATAACAATAAATAACTCTATCAGTACTGCCAAAATCAAAAGTAAATTTTCCCTAATACAACTTACGTCTCTTGTTGTTTTTCTTTCTAAGACAATACGCCTTTGATAAACCTGTCTGTAACGCTTTCCATTAATAATAAATTCTTCAGAAACTTGTTCTTCTCTTGGACAACTTGAACTACTATTAATTGATGGTGAAATAAATTTAGAAAGAGAATTTTCATTCATTTTTTTTCGGGCTACCAACATACTACCAAAACGATTTAATTTAAATTGATCAATTTTATCATTTCCATCAGTTTGTTCATCTATATTATCATCTTCATTATGATAATCATCATCAATGTTCAATGTCGACCATCTGGAATCGGGTGAATTGTGTTGCCGATACTCATTGTCAGATGGAAGAGTTATGCTACCATATTTTGTATCATAGTTTCTTGTCTATTTTGATGAAAAGTTAGAAAAAAGACAAAATGCAAGAACAATAAACATGCACTTTAAAAACTAAACTGAGATTTCTTTTATCTGGAAAGACATAGCTACCTAAACGCTTGATAATATTTAGATCTAATAAATAAATGCGCACTAAACAAACCATCAAGTTGGTAGTTATTACTTTGGACTAACATTTTGTATGATGCAATAATTTGTCTCTCAACCTTTAGGTTAAGTTTAACATCCGCGAATACAATTCAACTTGATTTCAAGACTTCATATTGGTAGTCACCGTTCAAGTTCTAATATGTCCATAAATAGTTGAATCTAAATTCTTGATGTTCGTTAGTTATGAAAAGAACGGAAGTTCTTCACCGAATCCCACCAATTGCCATCATGCAAAGATACTCTGTAGATACGGACTATACTATATGCCCAACCAAGTAACTATTATCCCAACAAAGTTTTATCAAACACTGTCCTGAATATCGGAAGCTTTCCATTTGAAAAAAATAGATATCCCATTTGTAGATGACGCCCGTCACAGATTGATCGCAATAAGGATACCACTGAAAACCAGGGAGCGCTAGACAACTGTTTTGTTAAAACATGAGAAGATTCATCAGCCCCTTATAGTCTATAAATTAAAAACTCGCAATTCTTCTTCATCTAAAAAGATATCCTATTTATTAGACAAGCGATGACTTTTGTATCAAGTAACTAGTAATAACTTGCTTATTGAACCAATGTTTGCTTTATTCGAATGTCAGTATACATATCATCAATGAACTGAATATATACTTAGCTGATGAAGCCATAACAAGATGAAACACATTCCATTGCTAGTCACTATTGAAATATGATATAACAGGTGTATAATTTATTTTAAATCTGTAATCCAAAAATAAGTTTTAAATGTTTTAATCTTTAATAGTTTGTTTAACTTTCAAATTATTTTATTTTTTAAAAGTTAAGAAATTTTTATTCCTTTATTTAGGTAGATACAAAAAGGATCAAATTTCATAATGAAATTAATCTAATTTTGTGATTTAATTTAACAATGGTTTCTTTAGAATCATTTATTGATTTGATAACTTGATGAGAAACATATCGATTTTATTATTACTATTCTATTTTTAATGAAATTATGATTGAATTAGTTACCATGTTATGAATGTAAATTATCCATTGCATAGAAGTAATAATTTGTTTATTAAAAAAAGAAGGTAGATTACAAATCTATTCATAATTATAATGTATTAAATGAATTTCAATTTTGTGTAGAATTTGTTGTAATGAATCAATATATTTAATTGGCGCCATGTTAGCAATTAAATGATGATATTTGAAATGGTTGAAAAATGGTATATATAAATTTTGGTATATGATGAATCTTAGTATATAGATGTTGTTTGAACTATTAATGTGAATCATTTAAAGAATGGAATGAAATACATTTATTTGATTGTTTTATTCTATTTAAACAATGATTAACATACTAATAAGACTTAGTTCTAGTAATAGAATCTTGTAGGATTATGCTAATCGAAAGTTGTTAATCACGCAAATATCAGTAGATTATAAGCAAAGATGGATAGTGGCCAGCAATGGAATCTAGGACGTGTGTTTAGTCCTATTTTGGACTCGTCAACGGGATGTACCTGCATTTCAGTGTTGACGTTCACTCTGCGATTCGAACCCAGTACCATTCCCTTTAAACGGTAATATCACGAGGCGATATCGATGCAATACACATAGTATGCACATATGCCAATAAGAGACTGATCAATTTTAGTCCTAAACATCAATGGGAAGATTCAAGTAAACTATACCAAGTGAATTTAATCAGTTAGTTGTTTCTAATACTTAATCTAATTTATAAACTCTCATATCCTGTTTAAGTAATGAATAATACTGTATTTCGAGTCTACAAAATTTGAAATTTTAAAGTATACCAATCACGTTATCGACATGAACATCATATCTCTTATTTTACATGTTGCATTATATGAACAACACTATAATCTTTCATACGAAGTTACAATATGAAATCCATTTACATTTATATAGTTAAAACTACCAGGATTCAAGTGATTTTTAAAAACTAAACCTGTGTCATTTGGAATTGTTATGTCTTTGACTGATATATCATATTGTTAGGTCATGTTTATTATTCATTCATTATTCTGTTTATAATTATATGTATATATCATTGGACGTATCTCAAGGAATGAATTATATACAATATAACAGAGGTTAACGATACAAATTCTCATGGTAATAACTCTGCATATATACATCATCGTGTATGGTCGAGAAATTGTAAACAATTATTATTTAACAAGGATTGTTATAATTGACAAATAGATATATAACTTATAATTGTACTTCATACAAAATAAGCGTTATCATTCATGGGAATAAAATGATTTACCTTAAAATTCATAGTTGATTTATCATTTACATTAGAATTAATTGAATTTATTTCAGTAGTTGTATTATTATCCAACTGGATTGTATGATAATTTATTGGATTGAAATTATTTACAACAGTAGTAGCAGCAGTAGTAGTAATGGTATCTTGTGATGCAATGGTTGTTGGCAATTCTGATGATGGTAACACAATTGAATTGTCAATATAAACTGATTGCATTTCACATGTAATATTAGCAACTTCACGTTTCATTTCTTCAACTGTTGGCATTTGTACAACTAAACAACATTTGTCAACAGGTACTGACTTTAAACACTCCATAATTTCAGTTTACTTTTTGTTAGCCAGTGAACGTTTAATACAATAAATATTCCTAATCAAATAAAAGAAGAGGAAATTTTAATGAAAATAATAAGAAATAAGTTACTGTTTTATAAAGTTGGGTTTCTCAAGTAAACATATTTTAATTCACAACTTACCTTCTAATAGGTATGTTATTTGTATTTCCAAAAGGCTATGATAGCATATATTAAATACGCAGGAAAATCGAATGTCTTACATTTACATAATAGACAGCTAATTAGTGCATCATGAATGAAATATATTTAAGTAATTCTCAAAACGAGTAGTATCTTAGATAGTAACTGTTCACAATAATGTCCGTTTCAGATTCTATTCATAAATGTTTAACCATAAAAATGTATATGGTACATAAGAGCACTGATAAATCTGTTAGTTTTACACATAATATTCAGTTGAATACGTCTGAAAATTATGAAACTGATATTCTTCATAATTTGAATACCTAAAAGAAGACAGACTATGTGATCATATAAGGTATCAGTGACAGTGTATCTGAATCAATATATATGAGTCAAGTATACAAAAATCAACTTTATTGAGTCTTTGCTTTAGATTATGATGAAGATGAATTACATCTTGTATACATATATCACTGTGTAATATGCTTGGTTGTTCAAAGGAAACTACTTCAACATTTAAGAAATGCCATAGTTGACCAATTTTTAAAACCTGGTAGGGTTAAAAAAGGTGCATATAACTTAAATTATATATTGTTAATGGCTTTAGATTCCAGATGTAAATTAATTAGAAACAACTGGATAAATGTTATATGAGAGAAAAACATTAAGAGAATGATGGTCAATAAGGATGTATCACTAATGTAAAATAGTGAAAACACCTAGAACAGTGTGAAATTCAACTCTAGTCCCTTTTATACAAACGACACTTATCATATGGAATTTCTATTAATTTTATATATCAGAAGGCTTTTTGCGGATATTATAGAAATTTCAATGTGTCGCTAAATGTAGTGGATTAGTTGAAGTTAGACATTAACACTGTTGGATACCGGCCGGCTCAGTGGTATAGTGGTTAACCGCTCACGCGCGAGATTGATAGGCCCTGGGTTCAAATCTCGTGAGGTGGGATCGTGGACGTGTACTGTTGAGGAGTTCCGCGATAGGACGAAACGGCCGTCTAGTGCTTTCACGTTTCATATGACGGTCTATCTTCAACTGACTCATGATCTCAACTATTGAAATTTTATATATGTCTAACATATTGAATTATTTAAAGTTCTAATTTCTTCAGTTTATCAAAATCGTTTCAATTTCAGATTAGAGCAAAATTTCTGTATAGTTTATTATGATTATTTGTAATAGAAATTTGGATAATTACCAAATGTACTTCATTTAACGCAATATAGGTGAATGTATTGAAAGAAAATGGACCAGTCAATTGACTTAAAATTTGAAATTTTTAGGGGTAACATTTAAATAATTTCTCGGTATATCATGTAACAATATGGTTTTTATTGTGATTTAATTTATGTCTGTGTGTGAATGATAATGATTGGTTGTTTGCTTAGTCAAACTTGTAGATAGTCTGACAGATGTCAGACGAGTTATATATTCCCATATCCTTAATATTATTATTATTGATTGTTTGTTGTTGTTGGATTGTGTCGTGTTTTTGTGTGGAAATATATTTACATTCTAGTCAGGTTAATCACGTGTTCTTGATCTGAGTTGTGTTCAAGTCCTGTAGAATAGTTACTGGGAGGGAATCTAGCCTAGATATTCGTCTTAGGTAAATTAACGTCCCATACGAGTGGACGAAGTAAAACCGAGCATTATAACACTTGCTTAACTTAGTAAAGAAAATGATTTGTTATTTAAGGCACAGTTTTGTATAGAATTCACTTTAGAATGAGTAAGCAATTTACATAATGTAGATATAATGTATGCTATGTAATGACACTAATAGTTTTCTAAAATCCATCCTAGTTGATTTAATAAAAAATAAAGATATCTTCTTCATATGGCGGTTATTGGTTACATTTCATTCTTAACTTTCAGTAATTAAACTGAACAAAGACATTCTGATTTTTCAATCAAGTCGAAAGGTGTTTCTTAATATATATATATTGTGGGGGTCGGTTCAATGTCAAGCTTACTCGGGATATTCTAACCTCTGGACAGACCAATCTATTCATTCTTTTCGAGCCACATTTTTATTGTCACTTATTCACTCATTAACACTGACTGCTTTTTATATGATCGTATGTGTACTAATAACTTACCCTACTCATTGTGTCTGTAACTTATTTTTGTTCGATTATAAATATCGATTCGCGCTTGGTTAAATCGACTTGGCGCATATCTTTTCTCCGATTCATTTCGCTTCACTCTCCCCTCTTCACCTCATTCGTTTCGTTCCGTTGAATGTCTGTTCAGATCAATGACTTTTTTTTATTCCGTTATTCGTTACGCGATTTAGGTCGACAGTTATATACAAAGGAAGCCGGGATTTATATTTCAATAACAAACATTCATATAATATAAATGGAGTTATAGATATTCATGCAATGACTACCTTCTGATTATTTCATTCTGTTTTCATTTAGACAGGAAACGTTTGTTGTAAAAGACTGTAATAACGTGATAGTAAATCTGTTGAAAAAAGATCTCTTTGCTAAATTCCATGTTTTTACTATAAAAAAATAATAAATTATATTTTATTTCTTTTTTGTCACCTGTACACTGTTAGTATTTAATACGGCGGAGTGAAAAATATAACAAATCAAGTTACTTAACACATCTAACCCAATTTTTGTCGGATGAAGTTTACAGCTTTGTTTCACTTTTACTTGTTAATAAATGAACAAATGAAATTTCGACGTTTATCTTTGTAAGGAATTCATCATTAAGAATAGTTTAGATTTAACTAATTCACTAATAGATAAGTTCTTATCAGGGTCATTAAGAAGAAGCATAAACAAGAGAACTACTTGGACGGGCCAATATACAAACTTTCTAGGTTTGTTTTCCCTTCAGAACACAAAAGGAACCTGATTAAGGTACTGCACCATAGAATCAAGACCATATGCTCTCTAGATGTGGTCGAAGATGAAACAAAGACATTGTACACGACCTTGAAAGGAAATGGATATCCAGAGAAATTTATAAATCAAAACAGTCAAAAAAGAGAGCATAAAGAATGCCCTACTTACTATATCTGACCTAATTCATATTATTCTACATATTATGTAATTTCTGATTTGTAATTACATTATTCTCCCTCTCACCCCATGTCAACCATATTTATTCTGACCATTATTTATCCCACAATTTCATTTCGCTTATAAACTGATTCAAGTAAACACTTCAATACTAACGATGTTGTTTTATTTTATAAGACAAACAATCCTTAATTCACATTTTATAATTTGGAATGATGTACTCTGCCTTAAACCTGGCCAATTTTATGGACTGCTAATTTAGATACATAATTGTAGAAACTGATGAGAAATTATTGAAAAGTATATTCTTCGTTTATATAATTATGTTTTAATATAATGAGAATTTGTCAGCGATTAATAGATAAGTATATACAGTGAGACTATAATTTATGGACGACTTTTGAGGGACTCTAAACTCACCTTGAGAGTGTCCACTTAATAGATAGAACCAAATGTGGGTTATAAACCTGTATGAGGAATACGAATTATCATTTACAGTTGGTGGTTAAGGTTAGGAATTAGATTTCGGGTTTTCATCACAAACTGATATTAGCTATAATGCCAAAACCCTATTTAACCAAATAGATGAGTGAATTTCGCGCCAAAATCCGACACCTGTTATCTTATACCTGATTGGTTCGTCCCTAAATTATAGTCTCGCCGTATCTATCTACATATGTCGCTAATGTATGTAAGCATCTAGTTCGAAGTTATTTATTTAATAAAAATCTGTTATAGTATATTCTATGAATTTATAAGTATATTCATTTTGGGTCAGTGTACACTATAGAATTGTCAAATGAGTGGATGCCTGAAATACACATGCAGTATGTATGTATTAATTTTTCTTTTTGTGACACTAGAAATCAATTATGTAATTAAGAGCTAGTTTAGAAGATTCAATTTAAAGTAAAAGAATCATTGTTAAATGATATTATTTTTCTGTTGAATTGAAATAATCAATAATTTCTTAAGATTAAGTTTTTCTTTCAATATCTGTTACCTGTACTATGAGGTACTCAATTACTGTAAGAGATTTCATGAATGTGAATTGATACGGTACAGAATGAAATGTTAATATATCATAAGAGCTATCAGTTATACATTTATTTAAAGTAATCAACTATAATGATTACTTGCAAACTATTCTATACAAACATATAATTGTCGTCAAAGTATGATAACGTTTAACAGCTATTTGGTATTATTAATTATTACCTAACTAGATTGCCGACTATAGTAATAATCAAGGGTCGAACTGTGACGCTGACAGTCTCTCCCCCAATATATCACGTTGAATAGTTCAAGTTTAAACAGAACCATGATTTCATGAACCAAAGTATAGCATTCAGTAAACGTCTTCATATTGATTTTATTGTTTATATCTATCCATTACAAAAACTTAAAATACACCATAACAGTTTGATATTTTTCTATCCCCAGTAAGATATATACATCGGTTGTCAAACGATGTTTATGAAGCTCTGAATAATACATGTTTTGCGTTCGACCGACGAGATAGATTCCAAGTGTTATGAAGTCATAAATAATCTCGAAATGTTTTCTACTCAACCCAGTAACTGGATTTCTAGCTGACCTCAGTAAGGGGATTAAATTCAATTTTGTGAAGTATTTAATTATCAGAAATTAAAACAAATAAAACATAATAAATCTTTTCATTGTGCTGACTTTAAATAGCTTAATTGGAGCTACTTGAACTATAAGTCTTGATTGTATTATTATTACCCACAATCGGTTTTTTGGTGAAATATGATGGTTTATAAAGACGAGCCGTTAATAAAAGTGATTTTCATGTCGAGTAATATATA